ATCATAAAAATGTCAAGTCTGACGTTTTTAATAAAAAAAATCAATTTTTTTTATATTTAATTATAAAAACGTTTGATGACCCGACCCAAAATTTTCGAGTCAATCTGACAGTATAATGATTATAACTCACTAACAATTACCAAGTTACTCTAGTTTATTAAAAAAATAAACTATTGTAAAAAGTATGTGCTATTCTCTAAGGAAATCTATAGTAGTAGTTTTTTTTGTATTTTATAAAATCTAACAAAGAAATACGTGTTACTAACAAAAAAAAAAAATCTCCATTTCATATAAAGATATGTGTAAAAATATTTATAAAATTTTTATATTTAATTTTATATATATGTCAGTGAAACGTTTGTCGGTGAAATAAGCCTGTCGGTGAAACGTTTGTCAGTGAAACGTTTGTCGGTGAGTTAAACGCGACCCTTCTTCAGGAGTATCAGGTACTGGTTCTTCTCTAAGACCATCTATTAAATGTAATTTTAGATGATTTGATGATTTACACTTTCATTATCAACAAATGGAGGTTTACCGCCTGATAATTTCCGCATAAGAACTCCTGAACTGTAAATATCAGACTAATCGTTATATTTGTACAAATAATTCTCTAAACGTTTAGGATCAATATATGTGTAAATCCTGACGAAGAATTTTTTCTCCCTGAAGAATTTTATTCTTTCAGTAATTTGATAAGATAATCTGATTTTATCATCCAAGTTAATTTTGAAAAATGTAGTTTGCCAATATTCTTGTACACTTGAATCTATTCAAAGATTGATTAACATTATCAGCTATGATATTTATTACTGTACATTGTACAAAGTGATTAAGTACCAAAACTTATGCCTAATACACGTATTATTCTTGGACAGAAATCTAATCTTCTATGCATATCTAATTCATGAAGGAAATCTTTTGTTTGTTTTTTGATTATTTCTTATTTTTTGCAAACAACCAATTTATCTGCTTTTTTCCAAATAGCTGTTGAAATACTTCCAAAATGACCATTATCAATCTTTTTCATTGCTGTTAATTCATTCTTATTAATAAATTTAACTAAATTCTTTTTTTTAATAAAATTAATCATTTCTGGTGGTTCTAAATTTATTATACCTGAAAGATCTATATCCTTTGGTTTGCTATATTCTATCTTTTGTAAAAGAGTTTCTTGAGATTTGATCAATATTATCTGCAGCAAGAAATTCTAAACTTGCTGAGTATAATGAATCCAAGCATTTATTACGATTAATAGATAGACGACTTCAGTATTCCAACATCTTTATACCAAGTTCTTGAAACTTTCTGGTATATTATGAGAGAGTTTTGACCTTAATCCCTGCATAATGTCATGAGTTAAATAATGATCAATACATAGTTCCGAGTGCATAAACATCACTAGCTTTTGTATAAGTTTTGTAACGCAAATATTCTGGTGCCATATAATGTTACCACCCAATTATTTCTTCCGTGTTTGTCAAAACCAAATCTTTGCATCATCTCGAAAATTCTCCTATTGCGCAAAAGCAGCCATCATCAAAGTTACTAAAACTACTATCATAACTACTACCAATATTATCACTAAATGGATGTAAATATCTATGAATATATCTAGCATTGTGTATTGCTTTTAAATCCTAGGCAAATAAAGAAGTAAATGCAATTTCGTTCCCAATCTAAATTATTAAAGTTTTTAAAAATATAATCCGCTAGTGAACTATTTTGAGGAAACTGTTTCACTATAAAATAATCATCGCTATCAGACTGTTTAGATATTATTAATATACTGTACCTTCGTTTTCTTCCAATAAAATGTGTGGCTCTTCAACAACATTATTCAAAACTGAATAATAATCGGAATCTTGTAAATTATAATCTTTATTAAGTTCTATTACTGAGATGAATTTTCCTTTTTTTTAAAAAAGAAATTAATATTTGATATTTATATAAAATAATCAATAAGATACACGAAAAGGTTTCAGATGCTTATTAATGGACTAGAAAAAATCCATCAAAGGTAAATGATCCATCGTGATCTTAATACAAAAAAATATTATTTGCTGGGCATAATGGAACATATATTTCGGACATGTCATTATGCGGAGGAATTAATAATGCATCTGAAACAAAGGTTTACAGAGTATTACCTTACGTAGCTCCTGAAGTGTTGAAAAGAAAGCATTATACTCAAGCGGCAGATATATATAGTTTTATAGTTTTAGTATGATTATGTACTTTACTGCAACCGGAAGACAACCTTTTGACAATCACCCTCATGTAAAGATGGTAAATGGTCTTTTTTTAGACTTACCCAGTCTTGACAGTTTTTAAAAGTTTTTTGAAAAGTAATAAAGCTACACATCCAAATTTTTATTATGTTACAGAATTAGTTAAAGACCAAAATGTGTCAAAATTTGGGTTTAATTCAATCAGCCAATTTAGAATCAAATAGGCTTTTATAGGTTTTTATGACAAAAGTCTTAAGACTGCAGTCTTTAAGCTAATTAGATCTCTGCTGGTCTTAGAAAAAGCAAGATAAAGGCCAAATTTTGCCACTTTTTGGTCTTTAGCCAATTCTGCTATATTACAAAAAATTGAGTGTGTAGTCTTGTTACTTTTTTGAAAAATTTTCAAAGACTGAAAAAGACTGAAAGACCATTTTACATCTTTACCCTCATGAAACGCTCGCTTTTAATATTAAATATACGTATGGAATTAGACTTGAATTAAATGAGCCAGGAGCACCTTAATTTAATGAAAAATGTTGGGATCCCAATCAAGAAAATAGATCAAATGCTGTTGAAATAAAAGAAACGATTATGTTATTTTACTATTCATACGTCAACTTTATTAAAAAAGGGAAAAATAATGATAATCATGAGATCGAAAGACAATTCAAGAAGTCAGAAGAACATAGAAGAGTACAAGAAAGCTAAAGAACATAAGTTTGAACCAAAAAGTACTACGAAAGTAATGGTAAAACCAATAAATGATTTATAAGCGTATTATATATAATACTTATTTTTTAATTCAATATATTTCTTAAATTATAGCGTCTCACATCGAACAATCTGAGTTTATCATTCCTGATGATTTGACGATTTGACGTTACATAATTATTAACTAGTAATTGTTCCATACCTTGTCGTATACAAAATTTATATTAATAAATATTTATTTTTCAAAGTATGGTGTTAGACGACATCAAACTATCAAATGGCGCTGTATATGATATTAAATTGTTCGCTCTATTTCTATTTTCATTTTCTATTCAATTTATTATTAGTAATTATGCAAAATAAAATTACTTTCGAATTATTACTCAATATCCGGACGATAAGCACCTATCACTTTCCCGCATCAATCAAACTGATTTTTAAAGGAGCAATATGTATAACTATAGCAAAATCCCAAATGTCGCACGTGAGAATATTAATTTAATTTTAGTGTAATTTCCATTCAAAACCGTTTGAATGATTGAATTACGAATTATAATGTAATTGGCGCAAATGTATCGTTCTTAACTCACCACGCGGTGCTAACCTGACCCGCATAATAAATATATTTTACAATGGGGGGTCAAGATGATGCCACCAGGAAGAGTCAAGCGGCTCTTTTAAATTTCCTTTTCTGATCATTCAAGCAATTTATTTTTGAGTTTCAAACTTAAATTACAAAGTGTTGAAGTTATTCACTAATTATTAAAAACAAAATTACCAGAAATTATAATGAATAAATAAATATTATTTATTGAATTCTTAGTAATTATAATATAACAAATAATAAATATATTTAAAAATTTAAAAGCGCTCATTCATTTTTCAATTAATAAATATCTATTCCTGATGTATTTAGTAATCCGATGGCCTTACTATTATTTTGCAAAGCAGCCTTTCTTAACCATTTAATTCCCTCCTCTTCATTCTTTGGAATTTTACATTTTCCTTTATAGTATATTTCACCCAAGTGAAATTGTGCAGCGGTATTTTCACCTTCATTGGCAGCTTTAGTGATATATTCCATAAATATTTCCCGATTATTACCTTCATGAAGTATCTTTAATAAAGTAAACGCATAGCGTAATTGAGCATCAGGATTTCCTCTATCAGCAGCTTCTTTAAGTAATTTTTTACCCTCCTCGGGATCTTTTTTATCAGCAAGTAGTCCTTCATTTAAATAACGACCTTTCCAATATTTTGCTGTTACATTATCATTTTTTGCATGATATTCAAAACATTTCCAAGCTTTTTCATGTTCACCTATTCTAAAAGCTGATATACCTTCATCCAATGAAATAATTATTGGATTGACATCACTTACATCACAAATATCATCATCAGGTATATCCAAATCGCCATTTACTTCATTTGATCCATCTAAATCTAATGCTTCATTATCAAGTAAATCTGGTAAATTGGCATCAAACATATGAATAATAGAATTATGTAATTCTTCTAACATGCTCAATATTTTCAGAAAAGAAATGCGTTCATGTGGAATTTGTTTCCAAGCTATAGAATATATAAAATCGATTAGAAATTTTATAAATTTGTAGCTACGCATAAATCATTACATAATGGATAGTAAATTAAACAAAAAGCATTGAATAACTTTAATAATACTTACAGCCACTTATAATTTTCTTATAAGCTTCTTGAACTTCTTCAGGAGTCGATTTTCCAAATTTAATTATTTCTCTACCGCCTTTAGTCACAAGAGCCTTAATCTTTTCTAATTTCAAATTTCTATATGGAATTTTTTCAAAAGCAAGCTCCCAAAGCAACATGCTAAAGCTAAAAATTTCACACCATGTTGTGTATCGAGAATTATAGTTGCTTAATTTTTCAGGAGCCATCCAACGCATAGTATCATTCATTTCGCTCCCTATTGAAGTGGTATTTCCAGAATAATAACGTGCTAACTCGAAATTGTAAATTTTAGGTTCCAAAGTTTGCGTCATTAAGATATTTTCACATTTCAAGTCGTGATGTAAGATTTCAGCCTGTTGTAAAAATACAAGCCCACGACAAATATTAAGAGCGATCCTAACTTTACAGTGCCATTGAATATCCTTTTTTTCGTAAAGCTCTTTCAAAGTTTTACGCTGAGCCCATTCAAAAACCATAACACCATTATTGTCAATTTTTGAGATACCATAAAATCTAAGGATATGTTTACATTCGGATAATTTCATTAAAATTTCAAGATGTCCCTCTTTTGGACCTTCTTCAGTCGTTGAGAATGATTTACAAGCTACTTCTTGTGCTTTAAAAATTCTCTTCACTACAACATTAGAATTCTTTCCACGTCGTTCATCATCAGCAGTTCCTTGCGAAGGAAGTTCTAGATTTTTTGGATCAATCTTATTTACGCCATGTAAAGATTTTTCATTTATATGATTCTTAATATACTTTATTTCATCATGTAAGTCATCCACTTTTCTATCTATCGTTTTAAGATATTTATCAAATTCAGCAAGATCTTCTGTTAAAGCTTCGTCGTCAATCCTTCTTTGTTCTTCGTTAGCAACTGCTATGGTAAAATGTAAATCATTCATTGATTTATCATAATCTTTTGATAGTTTCACAAATTTTTCTTTAATGGTAAGTGCTTTTGCATATTTCCTAAAACCGTGAATTTTTGAGATATCCGCAGTATACGTTTCAATTTCTTTTAAAACATAAATAAATTTATGAAAAGCCTGATAGTATACTTCGTTACGTAATTTACTTTCATTTCTCTGTTTTCTACGTTGTAATGAATCTATAGCGGTACTAGTTAATTTTACTCGGTCCAATAGAGAATTGCATATATTTTGGTTATATTCTGCTGCTTCACAAATTTCTATTATCTTATTAATCACAATTATGGCCGATTGAATTAAGGGCAAATATGTACCCATAATATCCCCTACTACATTGAGAGCTTCTTTAACTTCCGCCATTACGATAGCAATATATTCTTTTAGAAATATATGTTTTTTAAAAAACTCGTTTATAATTTAATTTGTGCAATTAAATAGCGGGTACGAAAAAAAAAAAGTTTTATAAAAGAAAATTACAGTTCCACAATTTTTCGTACGACATATCACAAAATCAATACATTAAAATTGATTGACAATCAATTCTTGTTTTGTATTACTGTAACTTTAACCCCTAGGTATTACACAATTACTGAATTCGGTAGACAAAATGAAAAAACTCACGTTCAAACGCATTTGAATTAGAAATTATTAATCCAATCAGATTGGCAAGTCCCTCACATAATCTAAGGATCGGTCCGAACTAGTCTGACAATATTTCAAAAAACAACTAAAAAGACAATGATCATGTTAAGAATTTCATTGTCACGATTAAATTATTTTTATAGCTTAATAAATTTTTTATATTATATTTTTTTTACATTACAATTGCTGATCGGATTAGTTTCATTTTGTTGCTATAAATTTGTTCTACCTATGCAGCCTAATTCAAAATTGTATTGGGATTAGAGCCTGCCCAATTAAGCTAATCTATGGCAAATGATGCGCCACTCCGAATCCTATATAAAAATCTGTAGCACAAGGCGCAGACACATGATCCGGACGATCCAATTTAAAATCTATGACACGCCGTACTGATCAAAAATCCAGGGTGTTCACCCTGGATGCATCCAGGGTAGCTACCCGGGATGTATCCAGGATTTACTCTGGATTATTAAACGCCGTACTGTTCAAAAATCCCGGGTGACCACCCTGGATGCATCCAGGGGGATCACCCGGGATTTTGTAAATTTACCCTGGATGCAAATATTACCCTGGATGATCATTGAATTTCTACACCGGTTGTTACATATTATCGGTCACGTGATATATCACATTTGTCAAATTGACATATCTCAGCCAATAAGGATTCAATATTTATGATATATTATCACACTTAAATTCATCTAAGCAAGATGAAGCCAATGAGATACAAATTATTAGTTTCTAATTATTAGATTATAGGATAACTCAAGTAATATTTTATACTACGTTTTTTCATCAATAATATATAAAAAAAAATATTTCAAAATGTTTCGCTATGTTTTTATCAATAATAATATAAGAAAACAGTGCGAAACGTTTTTTTATATTAAAACACTTTTAAAAAAAAAACGTTTTACAACGTTTTTATCAATACTAATATAAAAAAATGTTATGAACCATTTTTTATATTAAAACACTCAGAAAAAAACGTTTTGCAACGTTTTTTATCAATACTAATATAAAAAAATGTCTCAAAAATTTTTTTTATATTAAACACTCAGAAAAAAATGTTTCACATTTTTTATCAATAATAATATAACAGTCAGAGGAAATATTTTTTATTATAACAAAATTTTCAATATAATATTGCCTTTAAATATAGAGTACATATTAAACTTTTTTAAATTGCCAATTATTAAATCGTAATTCTGGCCAAAAATTTCTTAATGCTGGCCAATTTTATAATGCCGGCCTAAATTTTGGTAATTTCAAAAATTTTAATCAACGTGTTTATATAATATAACACTTTTTCTTGGTATATGTTTTATTATTTATAGAGTTCTTAAAATATTTTTATAACTTTTAAATATTAAAAATTTTAGTCTAATAAGTTTTAATCAGTTTAATAAACATTGTCAATTATTTCATAGTAAATTTGTAAACTGAAAAAAAATTTTTTATTTTAATTTATTTTTTTACCTTATTTTATATATTTTATATGTATCTTTTATTTTAATATAATTTTAGTTATAACAGTCATAGAAAAATATCACATATTTATTAAATAAATGATTTGCTTAATTTGCTTAATGCTGGTAAAATACTAGAAATTAACCTTAATGCTGGTCGAAAAAAAAGATATATATTTTTAACCCTATTTTTGAATATAACAGATAAGTAATGTTAAAGTATTTATAAAAGAAAAATATTTGTATAATTATTTTGAATTTTTAATATAATTAATTAGTTTAGTCTGAAATTTCTATAGCGATCTATTGGCATTATTAAAAAAAAAATCAGAAAATTTTGTTTGTTTATACAATATCTGCCTTATGTACATTACAGAAACCTGTTTTCCTTAATATGCAGTAACTGTATTGTAACTGCATCGTAGTCATACAGTAACTACATAGTGTAATAGTAACTGCATAGTGAGAATATTGTAAATACACAGTTACTGCATATTAAGGAAATTAAGTTTCTGCAATGTATTATACGATCTATTGTTATTATTAGAAAAAAAAATTTGAAAAAATTTCTGAAAAATTTTGTATCTATAACGATCTATAGCATCTTATATATTATATCTATTATTAAAAAAAAAAAAAATTTTAAAAAAAATCTGAAAGATTTTATTATATTTATAACAATCTAATCTATTGGCATTATTAAAAAAAAATTGGTTTATACAAAATCTGTCATATGTATTATACCAATCTATTGTTATTATTAGAAAAAAAATTAAAAAAAAAATTCTGAAAGATTTTGTTAGATTTATTAGCATTATTAAAAAAAAAATGGAAAATTTTAACCTATTAGAAAAAAAATTCTGAAAGATCTATACTAGCGATCTATTGGCATTATTAAAAAATCAAATCAGAAATTTTATTTATGCAATATCTGTTGGTCTTATGTATTATACAATTTATTGTTATTATTAGAAAAGAATTTAGAAAAATTTTTGATTATTTAAAAAAATAATCAGAAATTTTATTTATACAATACTATCGTCTTACGTATTATACTTATTATTAGAAAAAGCATTATTAAAAAATAAATCGGAATTTTTATTTATACAATATCTGTCTTATGTATTATATGATTTATTGTTATTATTATTAGAAAAAATTTAGAAAAAATTTAGAAAAAAATTCTGAATGATTCTGTTATGTCTATAACGGTCTATTGGCATTATTAAAAAAAAAAATAGAAAATTTTATTATACAATATTCATCTTACGTATTATACCCATTATTAGAAAAAAAAATTTAAAAAAAATTTCCAAAAGATCTATAGCAATCTATTGGCATTATTAAAAAAATAAATCAGAAAATTCTATTAGAAAAAAAAATTAAAAAAATTCTGTTATATCTATTGGTACTAGATTAGATTTTATTTATACAATATCTGTCTTACGATTATTAGAAAAAAAAATTTAAAAAAAATATTGCGAAATTTAATGTGATATATCACGTGACCGGTAATATGTAACAACAGGTGTAGAAATTCAATGATCATCCAGCATCCAGGGTAAATGTTCAAAAATCCCGGGTGATCACCCTGGATGCATCCAGGGTAACTACCCGGGATCAATCCAGGGTAAATCCTGGATTTTTGAACAGTATGGCGTTTAATAATCCAGGGTAAATCCTGGATACATCCCGGGTAGCTACCCTGGATGCATCCAGGGTGGCCACCCGGGATTTTTGAACAGTATGGCGCATTATAAAAATCCACCTTTTTATGCGGGGTAGTCTTGACGTCACCGTCGCATAATGCTTTTTTTATAGATATAGATTAGGAAGTTAGTAAATCATTAATTACTTTCTTTCTTTCCTTCTACTTTCTTAAAAAAAAAATGTCCAAAAAATTGTCTAAAAAAATATTTAAAAAAGCGTTCGAAAGAGACTCGGATTATTATATTGATTGGTTGGAAAAATCGATTACCGAAGAATATTTTCATTATTATGAATTTTCAAAGTTCGGAAACATAAAAGAAATTGGAAATAAAGCTACTTCAATGGTTTATCGTGCCAAATTGAAAAATATTGATCATTTTTATGTTTTGAAATCCTTTCATGGCAAATCTTTTAAAAATGTTGTCAATGAGGTATAATTTAAATAAAAATATATTTATTTATTTAGTTGTTCTTTTTTTTTTTTTTAAAAAAAAAAAACGTACAGGTAAAATTACACCAAAAAATTAGTTCTCATCCAAATATTATTCAATTTTATGGGGCCACAAAGATAAAAGGCAGTGAGTAATAAAAACATGATGTAACGTTGGGGTGGTCAGTCAATTAAGTAAATCAAAACTATATGTGGTAACATATAAAATCTTATTATCGAATTTTTTGTGAAACAAAGATGTCGATCCTTGATTATGTAATATTGAGGTAGCATCATTATCGTAAATTGTTAAATTTGAGTCTTTAAAAATTGATGAGAAGAATGATGCTTATAAAAAATAGCTATGTTTTTTGTTGTAAATATGGCGAAAATATCTTCTCTTTATTTGGCCCTTTTGGATATCACATAATTGAAATAAGATTTCTTGCTTGAGATATATCTTTATCAGGTAATTCTTGTATCATCGAAATTAAATGGGATTTTTGTGGATTCTTATCATCAATAGGCGTCTCTTCATTAATAGATAACACTTCTTCATCAAAAAACACCTCTTCATTGACAGAATATACATCTTCACTGGTAGATGATACTTTTTCATTAGTTTTTCAATATTATCAAGACGTGATTTATTTGCTTTTTTTAAATGGAACCGGCGTTTGTATTATTTATATATACCCATAACTTACTGTTAAATTAGATGTACAGCTTTAACTATTTTGTATCTTAAGAAAAAAACTATATGAAAATCATTAATGCAACCATATAAACAAAGTTACGAAGCTATTTGTTACATTTAATATAAGATACCTAGTATTTGGTTTGAAGAGTCAAACTTTGATAGATAGATGGATTTTTAGTCTATAATGCTAGAAAATTTAATGGCTAATGTAAAAAAATGCTTCGTAACTTTATGGTCATAGTTCATAAAAATTAATTAATACCAAAATAACCGAGAAAGAAGTTGTTATTCAATCTGGGCATCTAAAAAAATAAGCTTTACGTTTATATATATAAATTTATATAAATATTATGTTGATCAAAAAATTTAAATAAGCTTATAGTTAGTTAACCACATATAGTTTTGATTTACTTAGTTGACTGACCACCCCAATGTAACGTATATAATTATAATGACTCCTTTTAATATATATTTATAAAATACGTTTATTTCACTCTTATTATACTGTAGTTGATGAAATCAATGAATGCGGCTTAGTTATGGAATATGCTGATGAGAGTACATTAGATTCTTATTTAAATAAACATATTGTCAAACTTAGTTTGTACGATAAATATAGGTTAGCAATCCAACTTGCAAGTGCTGTATTGTATATGCACGAATGTGATATTATTCATCGTAATCTGGTAATATGTAATTATATTATTCGGTTTGTTACTTTAACATTATTTATTTAATTTTTGTTTTTTTTTAATGCAATTATAGAACCCAAAGAACATACTTGTACATCAGAAGAATATTAAGGTTGCAGGGTTTGGCTTAGCAAAAAAAAATTCCGAATCAACTATTAATATACCTCAAATATTTGGTGTAATACCTTACATAGATCCAAAATTTTTGAGTAATCATAATTACGAATTGGATAAAAAGTCTGATGTATATAGCATTGGAGTTTTAATGTGGCAAATATCAAGTGGACGACAACCATATTCTACTACGGACATTATTGATGATACGCATTTAATCTCATCTATTTTGGGGTAACAGAGAAAAATTTACTGTTGAAACTCCTGATGAATATAACCAATTATATGCGGGTAATTATGATTATATGATTTTTTTTTAAAATAAAAAATGATAATTCAATTAATCGATTCATTTATTTAGGATGTTGGAAATATGAGCCAAATGAACGTCCAACTATGCAAAAAGTTGTTCCAACTCTTAATTTTTTATTATCTGATGACTTTCAAGATGTTGATCGTTATTTATCTGATGATGATGATGACGATAATTTAATTGACAATTCTGCTAAATTTATTAAAAATGTCCTAAAAAACGATGATATTAAATATATACCCTTTGGTAACTTAATAAAACCAGAACCACTAAATAAAGGAGGATTTGGATCTGTTATTAGGCCAACTTGGACTGAAACAAACGACTATGTAATTTGTAAAAAATTGACTAGAATGACATATGTAGAGCATAATATATTAGATGCTTTTATTCATGAATTACAAATCCATTTAAGACTTAACGGTAATGACAGAATTATACGTTGTTTAGGTTTTAGTAAAGGTAATTTATAATAACAGGCATGATTGTTTTATTTATATATAATTTTAAATAATTTTTTATTTAGATCGGAGAACAAAAGACTATTTACTTGTAATGAAATATGCTAATGGTGGAGATCTTAGAAATTATCTCAAAAATAATTTTAATAATTTGACTTGGGATGATAAGAAAAGATTAGCATTTCAAATTTTAGATGGATTATATTATTTGCACGATGAAAATATTTTACATAGAGATCTAGTAAGTAATATCTCATATTTCGATTTTACAAATAATCAATTTTTAACTTAATAAATCTATTTATTATTTAGCATTCTAAAAATATTCTTATTCATGAAAATAATGCTAAAATCACGGGTTTTGGAATTTTAAAAAGTCGAAATAGCCAAGCTTCAAGTGTTATTGCTTATATGGACCCAAAGCGTTTGTTGGACACAAAATTTTCGTATACTAAATCTTCAGATATTTATAGTTATGGTGTATTAATGTGGGTAATTTCTAGTGGGCATCCTCCATTTAAAGATTATAACAATATAATTGAGCTTGTTTCTTTTATTAATAATGGTGTTCGTGAGAAACCCGTTCTTGGTACTCCTATAGAATATGAAGAATTATATAAGAATTGCTGGATGCAAGAACCTGAACAAAGACCAACTATTGATGAAATTATCAATGAATTCAAAAAAATGGACTTTCGTAATAGGTTAAACCCATCGGAATTACTCAATTTTATAAAAGATTATAAACTTACTAGATTTATTAAAAAAGATGAATTAACAGCAATGACCGAAATTTATAGTAGCAGTTTTGGTAGTATTTCAAAAGCTATTTGGACTAAAACGAATAATTTAGTTGTCTGTAAAAAAATAAATAATAATGAATCAATTAATAAGAAACAAATTGAAGCTTTTCTTCATGAATTAGATATGCATAAGAGATTAGATTATTGTTCAAGAATAATACATATACTAGGCATAAGTTTTGGTAAGCTTACATATTTTTATTTCATTTTTAAATAAAATTCGCTATTAATTAAAACTTTAATAGATTTAAATGTACAAGAATATTGGCTTATAATGGAATATGCCGATGGTGGAGATTTACGTAAATATCTTAAGGAAAATTTTCCAGAATTAACTTGGAGTGATAAAATGAAATTAGCTTATCAAATTACTGAAGGAATAAAATATCTTCATAGGGAAAGTATTCTTCATCGAGATTTACACTCTGGAAATATAGTAATACATCAGAGAGAAGCTAAAATTATAGATCTCGGTATTGCAAAAAGTACGAAAACTGAAACATATATTCATTCAGGTGTATTGGGAGTAGTTGCGTATATTGATCCTAAACGCTTAGAGAATTATTTGTACGAATATAATGATAAATCTGATATTTATAGCTTAGGAGTTCTAATGTGGGGATTATCTAGTGGTAGACCTCCTTTTGCTGATGAAAATATTAGTGATAATCTTTTAAGAATTGATTTAATAAGTGGCCGTAGGGAATAACCAGCACCTGATACACCTGGTGAATACTTGAAATTATATAAATCATGTTGGGATCCTGATCCAGACGTAAGACCAACTATTTATAAAGTTTTTAGTAAATTAGTTGAATTGGGAAAATGATGTACATTCAGTATTTTCAGAATATTGAATATGATAGAGATGATGACGACAATACACAAAGTAAGTATGTTATAATAATTTGTATAAATATATATTTTTTTGTCTAAACTTCTGATTATATATTAATTGATTGTAAAATGAATTTATTTAAGATATTCGGAGCATTCACGATGACGGTGATAATGATACTGATATAAAAGGTAAAAATTATTTATTTTATAGTATGAAAAATTACAAATAATGACGTTGATTTTTAATTATTAATTTCTAAAAATGTAGATACAAAATTAAATGTTAACGATACAGGTAAAAAGTTGAATATACAGTATAATTTTTTATTGCTTTAATAAATTTTTATATAATTTCTATATTGATTAGATAATAAATATATGGAAGACGATAATGATGATTTAAATAGTAAGTTCATTATAATAAATGACTTGTTTAATTAAAGATATAACTAATATTTATTTATATTTTTAGTCCCGATGATTGTTAATTAAATTCTAGATGAGATAGTTTCATTTAAAGTAATTTTATTAACTTATTATCGTGAAATATAGGCAGTTTCTTATCTTGCACTTTTCAAAAAAATTTATATTTAACATGATACCTCCTTTCAATTACAATGAAACTGAAAATCTTTTAGAATCGATCTAATAAAAGGCCATAGAGAAAAATCAATTCCTAATACTCCATTTAATCGAGCAAATTTATATCTTTTACAAATAGTTGAAAAGGAACAGTTTTTTCCAATTATTGTTTCCACTAATGTTTGATTTTTCACTAATGTTCGATAATTCACCAATTTTAAAAGTTTAATTAAAATAAATAGTCTTACCAAATTTAATCAATTCTGATTGTTTCAAATTTGTTTTAGTTTGATTATACAGCATTTTCCCTAAAATTTTGATTAATACAGCAGATGGTCTTTCACTTGGTTCAGAATCCCAACATTATTTATAGATCCAAAGTATGCATTATGAAGCTTTCATTCATGAAATAAAGATGCATATAAAATTGATAAAAAAATGGAATAGATTAGACGCAGACATACTACAGATTATTACACGTTATGGAATTCAAATATTTTATACATATTTAAAAAAAAGACAAATTGCCTTTATTATGGTTATTGTTTGTGTACATTATGTTGTAAAAGAAATATTAAAAAAAATTTTAATAGCAAATGAGAATTTTTTGTTTTTATCCGAAGAGTTTTTTAGGATATTAAAAATATCAATAAGCAACAAGCATTTTAATTTTACTTTAATTTCGGTCGAAATTTAACTTATCACTCATTAACTCTAGCCAACCCGATTTTCTTGTAATTTAGATAGAAAATATAATAATTAATTAATTTCATAATCTATATAACTATAAAAAGTCGGTGACTTACCGACTTAACTGAAACCAAATGTTAAATTAGATGCTATATGTTTAAAGTATAGTATATAACTCGCATTTAATAATAATACATTCCAAAATTGGGTTTATTATGGAATAATAACGAATAATAACAAAATTAGGAAATTTCTAATGTAAAGTCTCCATGTAATAAAATTAGACTTTTCAGTGTATTTGAGTCTAATGTATGTATATCTTAGTGATTTAACAACTTCAACAACGTTGGTTTTTTGCTTTAGTTAATAATTCTGTTAAAACCCATCAGTTAAATCGGCACTAAGATTATCCTCCTGTATAAATAGTTTGAATTGCATAGCATGAAACGCGTGATGTGTCTGCACTCGATCTTATTTTATGTTGTAGTTAAAATAATTTGAATAATTTTATATTTTGAAAAATTAATTCTAAGTTTTACTAATGATAATAAGTAATAGTTAATTGATCTAAATTAATATTTTTCAATTTATTAATTTTTTAATTAATAATTTATTTATTAATTTGTTTTTTTTTTGTTTTTTAGAATAAATTCTCTTTAATAAATCTTTATAATTAAAAAATCTGATGATATTTATAATAAATTAATTATGTACGACCTACATAAGACTTTTCCAGGGTCCTAAGAAATAGAAAAGGATGAATCAAAAGATATTAAAAAATTAAAAAGAAATATAAAAATAAAAAAAACACAAAAAATAAAATGATAGTGCATAAACTTAGTCTATGAATTAATGAAATACTTGGGTTACACATAATAATATAGGCAGTTTAATTAATTTCTATACATATGATCTTCTTAAGACTTCTTGTAATGCATGATAATTTAGATAATAAGGAAATGCGTATAACCAAAAAAATATTTCAAATGCTTATAATGCTTATTGTAAATAGCTGTTTGTTTTATATAAATCACGCATAAAATATTTACATTCGCCAAAAGTTAGATACGATATATATTATACAGTACTCCCGGTACTATTCAAAAAAGTCAGCTTAAATCAAATAGTACACCGGGGTACTGTGTGAAGAGGGGCGGGGTTACTATACAAGGCTTCCTGTAAATACGTTAAATTTGGTCAAATATCGAATTTTGGCCTAAATTAGCACCGGGTATTAATCAAAAATATCAAAATTTGTAGCTGAATACTGTAGTACCAGGGTACTACTTAAGCAAAAAGAATAGAATCATGCATCATCCGATTTTCAATCCAAATTATTTGGAATGGTTCCTTATGTTGATCCAAAAACCTTTAACAGGCGAAAAAATAATAATAACCAAACAACGCAAATATATTCGTTAAATGAAAAAAGTGACGTTTACAGTGTTGGCATATTATTGTGGGAAATATCTAGTGGTCAACCTTCTTTTTATGGTGAAAATTACGATGTTGGTTTAATTTTAGAAATTTCGCAAGGTCATAGAAAAACAGTTGTTCCTGATACACCTGAAGAATATGTAAAAATTTATACAAGTAAGTAAAATTTCGAGTTAAATAAATATAATATTAAAATAAGATTAAAATAATAATTATAGAATGTTGGGATGGTGAGCCAGATAATCCGTCCAACAATATATCAAGTAGTTGATTGGTTAAAAGAAATCATTATAAAATCAAGTATAATAATAGAAAGGACATGTCCCAGTCCCAGTCACAACACCGCCTTTAAGTATCAATAATTCATATTCACAAGGAGATTTATCTAGACTTATTCAACAATTTAATGAAATGAATACAAATGATATTAATAATATAATTGGATCAGAAAAGCAAGAAAAACTTTCATATGAAAAAGATTTTAACAGAATAATTGATGAAATAAATGAAATGATTATTAAATTAAAAAATAAAGAATTAAATGGAAATCAATAGAAGAGAAAGTTACTGAATATTTTGATAATTATAATATTGATTCACAAGAAATTTATAATTGGTTATTAAATAATCAAAATAATTCAAATTCCATTTTTTTACTAGAATATTTTTTAATTACATGGAATTAAAACAAGAGAAATTAATGAAAAAGTATTTAATTCATTTATTGATGCATCAGAAAAAAATTATGCATTAACCAGCGGAAATTTTTTTTTTCCGTAAATTTTTTAATTAATTTTTCAGTTTAAGCTTTTTAAGCCAATTTTTTTTTTTTTTTATAAATTCTCTTTTAGTTTTTTTCAGTTTAGGCTTTTCTTGCGATGTAGTTGCTTGTGTAAAATTAGATCGTTGCAACGTTCTTAAATAAATTATAATTTTAATATATCGCAGATATATGGTTATACGATGTAAAAATGTTTTTATTTTAATTATCCAAAATTGAGATTTTTTTATAACAACCTAGTTTCACATTGTACTGATTAGATATTTATGTTAATTCGTAATTCGCGTAAAGCAATCGGAGCATCGTCTCGAATACTCCAAATCTGCGTTTCTTACATAGGTAAATTGCATCAATTTTTGACCAAATCGATTGAATGTTGACTGGAAAACCCTTGACATATACTCTACTATATTCATATATTTAAATAACTTTTAAAAACTTACCATTAATGTTTCGCAAATAATTTTAAAAGTTGTCAATCAGCCTAAATATTAGCAAAATCGCCTCACAAATTTTTGCCTAATAAAAATATTAGCTAAAGGTCTTAAATTATGTTCATACATACGATTATTAAAAAAAAAAAGTAATACTAAAAACATAAACTAGATAGAAGAGATCTTTCTGAATTCGATCAAAGAGTGAGAAAATGTACTCCTTGCCATCATTCTGACATAATTCTCACAATTGCCAATTAAAGAGAAATTAGAAATATTTAGTTTATTTTCATAACAATACATGTATTCTTTAATATTCCATTTTATGGATTTGTAAAAATAAAATTATGCTTAATATAAACAATTTAAAAAAATAAATTTTTAGGAATGCTACTAACAATGTTTTTTATGTGACATTTCAAAATTCTAAACTATTTTAATTTTCATTTTCGCGGTAAAATTAATATAACGTGATTGTAGATCATCCGATCACATGGTTTACTACAGGGGAGGACAGCCGCCTAAATTTATAAAATTATTTTTTCTCGCCAATAAGATTTTCAACTAGAAAACTGCTAAATAGGGCGTGGATTATTATTTATAATCATTGAAATATCTTGGTGTAAGCACGACTATTCAATTATGTAATGTACCGATGTACGACTAATGTGGTGTAATTTTTAATTTAATACGTACGACCCACATTTCAATTTTCAATACATAAAAGGGTAGTTTAGTGTGTAGATCAGTAGTGCTAATAGTATGAGCGTCGATCTCTTGTTACCTATTTATGGTATATATTTTTCGGGAATCGGAGTCCTTGTGTTTGACGTCGTAATCATATGAGCTTAGGTGTTATAAATATACTCGCCACCCTTAAGTGGCGAAAGAAACCCAATTTTTGTATTTTTGAACTGATTTTTATATTAAAACTCGCCTTTCAGGTTTCATAAATTAAAAATTCTGCACACATTGATAAGATTATTTTCAATAATTATGGAATTGAATTGTAATTTACAAGATTCTAATAATGATATTGTTGATGAGCCACAAGATCTATTTGAAGAAATCCAAGGTAAATTTCATCGATGAATATATAATAAATAAATATAATCTTAAATAAATTTTACCCTTAAATGAAGAACTTCCATTATCTTTACATGGGATATGCAAAAAATGTGGACAATCAAGAAGTCATTATCGATGGTGCCAATCATGTGAAAGAAATCAATGTAAAGAAAATTTCTCAAATTGGACTAGTGGAAACGAGATAATTGATGAATTTCTACAAAGTTCACAATTAAATTCTACGAGACCTCAAACATTTTTAGAATGGATTCCTTTTGAAAGACTTGAAAATATAAAATATTTAGATGAAGAATTTTATAAACCAACAAGAAGTACCATATATTCAGCTATTTGGATAGATGGACCAAGAATTTTATGGAATGAAGAAAATGAACAATATGAGAGATCTAAAATTCAAGTTCTTATCAAGATGTATAACAAGGATCAAGTCAATAAAATTATAAATGAGGTAAATAAATAATTAATTTAAAATATTCATATAATTCATTAATATACGTAATTAATGCATATTAACCGGTATTTATTTAGCTTAAAATATATTTAGATTGTCATACACAAGATTGTGATTTATTAATTCAATTTTATGGGATATCTAAACACCCTGAAAATAATGAATATTTTATTGTAAAACAATATTCTCAAAATGGTTCGTTATATGATTACGTTTTAAAAAATTTCAATAATTTGAATTGGGAAATAAAATTGCATATGCTTCTCTATCTTTCTAAAGATTTGAAAGCTTTACATGATTCTGGATATGTTCATAACAATTTTTATCCAACAAATATATTAGTATTTGATAATAACTTATGTGCAATAAGTACATTCTCAAAATGTCGTAAAGATTTACCTTTATCAAACACAGATGATAATTATAAAAAAGCTAACGATATATATGAATTTGGAATGATAATGTATATTGTTGGAACCGGATATATTCCTTATGACTTGACTTGTGCTCAATCATTTGATAGTAATACATTTTTAACTCTTTATAGATTAGCACCAAAATTTTCTAAGAATATACCAAAAAGTTTCAAAGAATTAATGGAAAGATGTTGGAATCCTGTACAAGAATTATGCCCTGATATTAATGAAATATATAATAACTTATTGCACTGGTGGTCGTTCATTTATCATAAGTGTTTGAATTCAGTATGTATAGAATTTCTTACTATAAATAATAGAAATTATTCTAAACCAAAACCTCCATTAAAACCACATAAGACGAAATTAAAAGAAATAGTCCTTCCAAATAAAAAAAATTTGGAACCATCAGAATTGATTGATTTTATTATAAATAATCATTTCATTAAATTTATTAATATAAACGAATTAACAACAATGATTTCTATTGGTGATGGTCATTTTGGAACCATTTGGAAAGCTATTTGGAAAAAAACGAATAATTTAGTTGTTTGTAAAAAATTAAAAAATAATGAATCAATTAGTAAAAAACAAATTGAAGCCTTTCTTCACGAATTAAACATGCATAGAAGATTGGATTTTTGTTCAAGAATAATACGTATATTAGGTATAAGTTTCGGTAAGCAATTTTTAAACATTAACTGACATATCATGATTACGTTATCATGTTTACTCAATATTCGTTTATTTATTTACAGATGAAAGTACAAAAGAATATTTACTTGTAATACAATATGCTGATGGTGGTGATTTACGCAAATATCTTAAATGTAATTTCTTAAGATTAACATGGGATGATAAGATCCGATTTGCTTATCAAATTACCGAAGGAATAAAATTCCTTCAAGGAGAAAATATTCTTCATCGAGATTTACACTCTAAAAATATAGTAATACATCAGGGTGAAGCTAAAATTATTGATCTTGGTATTGCAAAAAGTACGGAAACCGAGACACATCTTCATTCGGGCGTATTTGGAATGATTTCATATATAGATCCTAAATTATTAGAGGATTATACATACAAATATAATGATAAATCTGATATTTATAGTTTAGGAGTTCTTATGTGGGAATTATCTAGCGGTTATCCTCCTTTCATTAACAATGAAAATGAAAATCTTTTAAGAATTCATTTAATTGGTGGTCGTAGAGAAGAACCAATACCTGATACACCCGACGAATACTTGAAATTATATAAATTATGTTGGGATTCTGAACCCGAAGTGAGACCAACTATTAGTAAGGTTTTTACTAAATTAGGAAAGATGTTAGGTATTCAAGATGATGCTAATGATGATAATGACAACGATGATAATAATGATATAAAAGGTAAATTTATTTAAATTCAATTTATTTTTTTTGTAATAATGAAATAAATAATAATCATTGTTTAAAATTTCAGATTCTAATAATGAACAGAAAAATGACAATAATACAGTTTACGATGTTCATAATGATTGCGATGATTTATTCAGTAAGTGTAATTTACTTTTTGTAGTAATGTCACTATTTAAATAATATAAATATTAATTATTCATTTTACTGTATTATTAGTTCCATCTGATGACGATGATCAATAATATATTTATTTTATTTAATTGAAAACATAAAATACTCAAATCATTTTATATATTTAAATATTATTTTAAACTAAAGGCAAATTACAATCATTTACAAGTTACAACCATTATACTATATTTGTTTAATATTATCATAAGTATTAATATAATAATATTATCACGTACATAATAAAGTCATGATGCTTTGATTTAATAATTGATATTACTTGTCTTTTCAACCATTTTCTGACTTAAAAGTAAAAAAAAATTAAATTTAATACTATCTGAAATATATGGTTCCAAATTACCGAGATGCACTGATCAGGTAATGATAGTGAAATCCTTCCTCATGACTTCCTTTAAACATTCTTCGTAGTAAATAAGTGAAGTCGGAAGAATCCCAATTGATTATATAGGTTAAATGTAAATAATGCACTAAAGTGATTAATTATGTTGAATTTGTTGTCGACTTGTCACTTTCACTAGAATCATTTTCACGGTGTAGAATTTCTATATTTCTAAATAATAACCATAGTGTCACTATCGCTATATTAACAGTAAAGCCATTCTTTTAGTTTTTATTTTTACGACTGCATGGAACACACACATACAGACGATACAGCCACTTTTTTAAACGATCGGTCTAAAATAGCCGCAGTAATTAATCACATGACTATCATTATGGAGTAACGTAGATTGGCTAAGTGCGTCACATTTACGACATTTGACAACGTAATACAGGTACAACACAACACAATAAAATAAAAGGTCGTTTGAATATTCATTGTCTTCTCTTTTTCAAAAAAAAAAAAAAGAATGTCGAAATTAAATAGAGACATTATTTATCTGATATTACAAGAATTACAAGATGATAAAAAATCACTTTATTCATGTCTTTCAGTTAATAAAACTTGGTGTGAAATGATTATTCCAATTTTATGGAATAATCCTTGGAAATATTTAAATTTAAAGATTGAAAATTATAAATTATTATTTAACGTAATTATTTCATATTTACCGAATAATTTTAGAAATATTTTAAATCAAAAATTCAATTTTTTAAAAGATTCATATCAAAAACCTTTATTTAATTACATTAATTTTTGTAGACATTTAAATTTAAATGAAATTTATAAAGTATTATATTCATTATTTGAAGGTTATGAAATTTCAACTATTAAAAATGAAATTTTAAATCTTTTTATTAATGAAAATACTAAATTTACTCATCTTTATATTCCTTATCAATTTGATTATCAAATAAATCTTATTCCTGGATCAGAAAAATGTTTTTCAGAACTAAAATATCTTAGTTGTAATGTCAATATAAGTGATAATGTTTTAACTGGATTGGTGGAAATTTGTAAATCTATTAAGGAATTGGAACTTTTTATTGAAATTCAAAATAACAATTATGGAATTGTTAAATTAATTGAAACACCTAAAAAATTAATAGACGTTCGTTTATTATTTGGGGCTTGTTCAGAAAAACATAGTCCACTTTATGAAATTCTCGAAAAATCTTTGATTAAACATGCAAATCACATACAACATTTTAAGATAACCAAACAACCTAGTACAACAATTCTTTCATCTTTTGTAAATTTAAAAAGTTTAGAATTATTTGATGATATATCATGGGAATATTTAGATGATTTATCCTTCCCTTTATTACAAAATTTAAAAGCTCGAAGTGTTCCAATTAAATTTTTAACAAATATAATTGGAAATACAATTGGAAATCTTAGTGAAATAAAAATTGATCATATAAGTCATAATGAGATTGGTAATAAAATGATTATTCAAGCTATTTATAAAAATTGTCCAAATCTTAAATATCTTAAATTATTATTTAAAAATAGTAATATTTTAGAATTAGAAAAATTATTAATCAAATGTCAATATTTATGTGGTTTATTTATTATTTTTGAAGATGTTTGGGATGCTAATGTTACGGTTGATTATGATCATGTATTTGAAATTTTAGCCAAATCATCCCCAATTAGTTTATTTAAATTTAAATTTCATTATAATATTGAACCTAAATTGGAATCTTTTAAATTATTATTTGATAATTGGAAAGATAGACATCCCATATTATTACAAACTGTTCAATATCGAAGATATGGAAATAGTCATTTTGATTTAATAGAAAGTTATAAAGCAAAAGGTATAGTTGAAAAATATGAAAATGTTTTGAGTGAAGATATTTTTGAAGTATTTAAATGGGTTTAAAAATATTTATTCTTCAATCTTATTTAATTTGTTTAGTTTATTTTTTGTATTTCGGATATAAATAAATATACATTTTTACGTTTTTACTATTAATTTACCTATTACATAATAACAACAGTCAATATAAAGTAAACTCTTACATTAATAAACATTTGTGTCCTAATATAACTGTTATGATGCAGTGACTATAAGCCATGGATTGCTATAACTACTCAAATAACTAGATTGTTGTTTATTAAGCTCTGCAATATTTTTCATCTGTAAACATTTGTCTACACATTTCTCTTTCTTATGGTTATTACATTTCTTCTTATGTCATACTGGCATATATATCTACTAATTAAAAATAAATATAATATTAATATACAAAGTTATAATTTTAATTTTTGATAAAAATTCCATTTATTTGTTTACCTGGTTCTCTCAGAAATTCTCTGTGCTGCCATGATTTTCTATCCAGCTAAATCAACTTTGTTCCTCGGTCACTTCCTCCAGGAATTTTTAAAAATTTCCTCATTTATTATATACCAGTTAGATTTATATACACACAGATGTGAAATGAAAAATAAGAGTATCCTTGGTAGTAGTTGTCAAAGGTGTTTACTCATATAAGTAATCAGATATGACAAAGGTGCTAAAATAAGTTATACCAGCCTTAGAGATTATCATAAGAAGATTTATCAATGTAAGTATATTTTTTGATCATAGGAAGTTTAGATAATTGATGAGGTTCATGCATTTAGGGTTAAATTTGGGTTATTATAATCTAATATGTGCAATTAACAAATAGAAACCATTCATTACTTTTTTTAATAATAAAGTGGAAAATTTCATATGTTTGGACCTTTCATTCTTTTACTATTTGAGAAAGTTTATATTTCAAGCATCAATTGTATGTATATAGATTATTCTTAAGAATGTTTCACTTGAAGCCCCTTGAAATTGCAGTATTCAATTTACAGAAATCATCCCAAATTGATCATGAATGATCTTTGTGGCCATATCCATTCATTTCTACTGTAAATGTTCTACTTTAATGAAAGTTCAAGAACCTGACAATTTGATTAGTCATTTGATAGATGAACTGTATGTTCAAAATAGAATTTTACTTGATGACTAGGATATGTGTCTATATCATTTCTATGTTATTCTGTAGAACATGCTAAAATATAAGAACTAGGCTAAAAGGTTCTTAGTAAATTACAGAAAAAATGCAATAAATCGTATTCAAATTTTTTATCACTATATATGATTCTGTCATATTTTTTTGGATCACAACATGATTTAACCAAAGAAAAATTATCTTTCCTCTTCTTAATAATGGTATGGTTTGTAAATGAATAACTATCATAAGAACTATAAAGACAAAGATTCTTTTATTAATAAAGTCAAATTTATAAGAGAGTATTCTTTAAATTTTATTAGGAAGTACAAAAATTGCACTTGATGTATTGCAATGTCATTTTATAATAAAATTTAAAATGATGAAAAATTATGGGATTTCAATTATTTCAATAATTTATGTAATAATGTACAGTATATATGATTGAAATTGCTACACAAATCACTTATATTTTTGTTAAAACTTTTTTATTATAAACAAATTTTAAGATCACAATTTGTCTTTATTAAACATATTTATTAGTCATTCTTGTATATAATAATAATATTTTATAACTAAATTAAGCAAATAATTTAAATAATGATAAAAACTAATTATTTAAATATTACAATTATATTATAAAATTTCTATTAAAGTCTAAAAAAAGTTAATTAATAAAAAAAATAAGTTTACAATATGGAGTTACATTTGCGTAAATTTATAGGTGTTGTTACCAGGAACTATAAGTTTGACTCATGTGGTATTGAAGTTAATAATAAGACAAAATAAAAGTAGTTTTATTTTTTTGTCTGCTAAAAATTTCTTTTTTTTATTAAAATTTTACATTTTTATTGCACTTATTACTATATTAGTACATTTATGTTACGTTTTTCATCTTATCATTTCTCTTTATTACATGCATTTAGTTAATAATTTTGTTTTTATATATACTTTTTACAAAATTGATCCTAAATCTAGCTTCTTTTTTTGGGTAAATTTTAATGAAAAAGTCTTCACTATTTTCATCTATTAACAAACAATAAATTAGTCCATTATAATAAACAATAAAATTATTAAAATCAATAAGGCATTAGGCATACATAACCTTACGCTTAATACATGGTACTTATATAAAAGAAACTTTATCTAATAGAATATTTCTAAATTTTTACAAATAACTAAATCATCTGAACTAGGGATGGCAACGGTCACGGTCATTAACCGATTATGATCGGTCATGAACGTGACCGATATCGGTCGGTCAAGACTTCTGACCGACCGTTTGACCGACCAAATTTTTTTATGAAAAATTTAATAAAAAACGTCGCGAAAACGTTTTTTATTAATAATTTAATTAAAAAAAAATGTTTTTCGCAATCGTTTTTAATTATTTTAACAAAAAACGTTGCGAAAACGTTTTTATTAATAATATAATTAAAATAAAACGTTTTCGCAACGTTTTTTTAATTATTTTAATAGAAACGTTGCGAAAACGTTTTTTTATTAATAATTTAATAAAAAATAAACGTTTTTGCACGTTTTTTTATTAATAATTTAATAAAAAATAAACGTTTTTGCACGTTTTTTCAATTGCCTTAATAAAAACACTGCGAAAATATAAAAAAAAATGATCGGTCAAACGGTCGGTCAAACGGTCNAAAAAAAATGATCGGTCAAACGGTCGGTCAAACGGTCGGTCGGTCGGTCAAAGGTTCTTGACCAGTCATGACCGACCGATGACCGACCATGACCGACCGTTGCCATCCCTAATCTGAACTATTTCCTTTTAATATAACCTTTGAAATCTTGCAAAAATAGCTGTTATCAATGGGAACCATTGTTATTATTTCATTATTTCATCCATGCTAAAACTTATAATTTATATTGTTCAAAATCACTAATTTCAACTTTTATGGTGGAATCTGCATTATTTTAGTAAGTAACGTAATTATTATTTAATTATTTACTAATTATCTAGCTAAATAAGAACTTGGATAAGAACATGGATAAATAGATAGATGTTATACTGCGGCTATTTGGTAAATAACGAAATTATTATTTATTGAACTAACTAATTTATTATTGATTACTAATGAATTGAAAAATATTCAGTTCCTTACTTAAAATAGATAAGTGGGTTAGATTTAATTGATTAAGCAAAATTAATTTTAGATAATTTTTACTGATAATAAATAACGCATCAGGTTTTCATGCATATTGATAATTTTTTAATAAAAAACTAAGTCGTTTAAATTATAGAATATTTCGTGTAATATTTTTAACTTGATTATATATAAATTTTATTTTCATAAACTTGTAATTGAATATTTATATTTAAACTCCGAAATCTTAAATTTAAAAGAACTATTTTAAGTTATAAAAAATACCGGGTACAAACAATTTTGAAAATATACCATTTCAAACATTTCAGTATCATTCTATATTTTAAATATAATACTGTAACTATTAAGAAATTTATGGCAATTTTATCAATTTAGTCAACTTTATCGGGAACTAAGGATACAAAAATTATTAGTTTATATAGTAAATAATAAAGAGTTAATGTAAATGAACTTACTGTTTAAATCATCATGATAACCTTTCATGAGCAATTTTACAAACAATTAGAATTTATAGATAATCGTTTTAAAACAAAAACATATATTTATGCATTAACAATTATTACCTGCATCTTTAATATTAGTCACTTCTGTATAAATTATTAAAAATAGAAAATTACTATTTATATAACTTTAATTGTTAATAATTAATAATCTTTACCAGTTTACCTTGTAAATCAGTACTATAATCATTATCTTGAACATCTTGATCATTTTGAACATCTTGAACATCTTGAATTTCGCCTAATAATTAATCAATATACAATTAATGTAATAAATACTACACTGTAAGTACTGTAAGTGAAATAATTTAAATAAATCATTAACTGCATTGATATTCTAGCAGACATTATTATTGCAAGTTATACTTTTTTGTTATATATTCTAACCTTGCATATCATTATCTTCATATCTGATATCTCGGAAGCCTTGAATACCTCTCATTCTTCCTAATCTAACTAGTGTATTTAAAACTTCATAAATAGTTGGTCTTATATCTGGATCATCATCCCAACATAATTTATATAATTTCAAGTATTCATCAGGTGTACAAGGTACTGGTTCTTCTCTAAGACCATTTATTAAATCAATTATTAAAAGATTTCCACTAATAATTTTATCGGTAAAAGGTGGTCTACCACTAGATAGTTCCCATATAAGAACTCCTAAACTATAAATATCAGACTTTTCATTGTATTCATACAAATAATTCTCTAATCGTTTAGGATCAATATATGGAATTGACCCAAATACACCCGAATAAAGATCCGCTTGAGTTTCTGTAGTTTTTGCAATACCAAGATCAATAATCTTAGCTTCTCCGCGATGTATCACTATATTTCCAGAGTGTAAATCTCGATGAAGAATATTTTCTCCTTGAAGATATTTTATCCCTTCAGTAATTTGATAAGCCAATTTTATTTTATCATCCCAAGTTAATTCTAAAAACTTTTGTTTAAGATATTGCCGTAAATTTCCACTATCAGCATATTGCATTATGAGTAAAATCTCTTTCGTACTTTCATCTGCAATAAAAGATAAGACAATAAATATTAATATATATATATTATAAGTAATAACAATATTGAAATTATATTTGGTTTACCTAAACTTACGCCTAATATGCGTATTATCCTTTGACAAAAGTCTAATCTTCTATGCATTTCTAATAAATGAAGAAATGCTTCAATTGGTTTATTACTGATTGATTCATTATCTATTAATTTTTTACAAATGACATAATTATTTGTTCTTTTCCATATAGCTCTTGAAATAATGCCAATATGGCTATCAATATTTTTTACATCTGATAACTCATCTATATTAATAATTTTAATCAATTTATGTTTCTCTATTAAATTAATCAATTGTGATGCTGAATTTTTGCTCATTTCTTCTAATTTATTATATACTTGAATAATTGATGGCCTTTCATTTGGTTCATAATTCCAACATGATTTATATAAATTTAAGTATTCAATGGGAGTGCCGGAAATCGGAATTTCTCTATAACCACCTATTATGTAACTTTTTGAAATATTTTCAGTTTCAGGAGGATAACCACTAGATAGTTCCCACATAAGAACTCCTAAACCATAAATATCTGACTTCTTATCAAATTGATAAGAATGAGTTTCAAAAAGGTTAGGATCAATATATGAAATCATTTCATAATCATTCTCTGTATTTTTTACAATATTAAGCATAATTTTAGCCTCTTTTTCATGTACTACTATATTTTTATAGCACAAATTTTGATGAGTAATATCTAAATCATGTAGAAATTTTACTCCTTCAGTAATTTGATATGCTAACTTTATTTTATCATCCCAAGTTAATCCTGAAAAATGCTGTTTAATATATGTGCGTAAATTCCCACCATCTGCATATTCCATTATGAGAAAATATTCTTTTGTGATTTCATCTGTAAATAAACAATGAAAATTAATTATCGTAAATATAGTAATACGAATTTAAAATTAAATAAGATTACCTAAAGTAACACCGAATATACATATTATTCTTGGACATATTCTATGCATTTTTAATTCATAAAGCAAATCTTTGATAGATTTATTAGTGATTAATTCATTATTCTTTAATCTTTTACAAATTACAAATTTATTTGTTTTTTTCCATATAGCTTTCGAAATATTACCAATATTTTCCATATTTAATAATTCGCTCATTTTAATTAATTTAATTATATCGCCATTTATAATGGCATTAATCAGTTTTAATGGATCTAAAATTTTTTTATTTGGTAAAATCCGCTCAATCACATTAACATTTTGACCTTGAAAATCATCAGATATATTTTGATATTTAGTTAGAAAAATTCGGAATAACTGATAAGTAAATTAGTGAATTATCGCCGTTTTCAAAATGATGTATTCAGTTAAATTGAATAAAAAAAAAAGAAAACCGAAAACCGGACGAAAACCGGACGAAATATGGACAAAAAACGGACGAAAACCGGGCGAATATTGGTATTCGAATATACAATCACAAATAAATTGCGTATACTATTTTGAAAACGGCGATAAATTCATAATTACTTAAGAAAAATATAAAATAAATAAATAAGTTACCTATGCTTAATATACTTGATTGTACCACAGATACTTGTTTTTGTGAGCATAAACTACTCCCAGATCCTATATTGTTTAGCATAGTAATATCTGAACCTACCGATAAATCCACATTTACATCTATGGTTTCTTCATTCGATCTTGGAATTGATTTAATTTCTTTTAATGAATTACTTCCTTCATTATTGTTAATATCATCAAAGTGTGTATCATTTTGTTCAGGAATAACTAAAGCTTTAAGAGTCGAAACAACGACTTGCATATTTGGACGTTCATATGGTTCGTATTTCCAACATTCTGTTTAAATAAATCAAATATTTTTATATTTTAACGTTAACTTAAGCAATAATTAAATAATAGAAATATTTATTACCTGTATATAATTTACTATATTCAGCAGGTGTTTCGTCAATAATTTCTTCTCTTTTTCCATTTATTATTGATAAGGCTAAATTTACGTCATAGTTATTACCAAATGGTTGATATCCACTAGAAATTTGCCACATTAGAACGCCAACGCCATATACATCAGACTTCTTATTTAATTTATAATTATTATCACCTAGTCTTTTTGGATCAGTGTAAGGTATCGATCCAAATATTTTTAAATTAATACTTGATGCAGCGATTTTTTTTGATAAACCAAAATCTGCCAACTTTATCTTTTTCTGATGTATAAATACGTTATCAGCATGCTATTTTAATAAAATAAAGAGAGTTTAATACTGATTATATAAGATCAACATTAAAAAATAAGAACATTTTAATTGTTACCAGATCACAATGAATAATATTACATTCGTGTATACACGCTACTGCACTGGCCAATTGCAATGCTAACTGGTATTTGTCATCCCAACTGAGATTATTAAAATGATGACTTAAATAAGTCCTTAATGTGCCGCTATCAGCATATTCCAAAACTAATACGTATTGAATTATATCTAAATATGCATTAAGCAAAATTTATGTTCATTAAAAAGTACTTTAATAATATATATATTATTACATGTAAAGTCTTACTAGGATTTTTCACTGTTGTGATTCCATGAAATCGTAAAATATTTTCATGAAAATCCACTCTTTTTTGTAATTTTATCTGTAAAAGAATTTAATTAGTAAAAGTTAAAAATATTTATCAAAATCATTTATAAATTTAATACCTCATTAACAACTTCTTTCAGTTTTGTCTTATCTCTATTGAAGCTTTTTAAAGCAAAAACTTGACCCGTATTTTTCCAAAAAGCACGATAGACGCTTCCAAATGAACCTTTTCCTATCAATGTTTCGTTTTTAAATTCTGAATATTTATAATCTGCAATTTGTTCATTGGAAATTGATAGTTCTAACCAATCTGCATAATCATTCTTTTTCAAAAATTTATAATCATCGTCTTCTTTTTCGTTTAAATTAATATGAACCATTTCTGAATTGGATTGTGTTTCCGATAAAGTATTTTCCAGAATTTCACTAGTTTTTTCAATTTGATAATTTTTCTTTGAACTTTTACCATAAATACATGTTCCAACATCGCAATTTGAACAAGGAACATCATTTTCAGCATTTCCATCACATTCGATTTTCAATTGCCTACATTTTTGACAAGCTTTTCTTATAGGTCGACTAGTAGCGGAAGAAGATGAGGGAACTTCTGACATGATTTCAACCGAAATACTATTTTTTTTTTTTTTTGACTATTTATAGGAAAATTGTGAAATTGCATGATTTCTTATTTAAGGCATATGGAATGCAGTATCCCATGTGACAGAAGTATCACAAAAATTTCAGACCACATGACGGTCATGACGCCACACTCGCCACAGTGACTGGTTGACCATTTCGATTACGTAATTGATTTTTCATTTTTTATTTTTTTATGATTTCTATAAAAAATAAATCTCCGGAAATTGTCCGTGCAGGCACTAGCCCTGTTTATTTCTGTTCTGTTCCGTTCTGTTCCGATTTTTGCAAATTTTTTAGCTTGGTTTTTTAATTGATGTGATTGGTTGGGAGCAAACGGAATGGATCAAATGCGATTTTTCTGCTCAATTTATTCTGTTCTTTGATTGGCTAAAAAAATATATGCAAAAATCGGAACAGAACGGAACAGAACAGAAATAAACAGGGCTACTGTGTCCAGAAATTTGTTCCGAAAACACCTCATTTTTGTTCCGATATTTGTCCGAAATTTGACCAGAAATACATTTTCGTAAAATTTGATAGAAGATCGTTATTACTGCTGTACATAACCTGAACTTTTATATCGCAGATATATAGTATTTTGCTTGCTCAGCAAAAATTAGTATGGCAAAGAAGGTTAAGAATGCCAGTTTTTGCATTTTTTTACTTACGAAATAGCACTCATCCAGAGCTTGTCCTGTGTCCAGAAATTGTCCAAAATTTTTATACTGGACAAATATTGGACAATTCTGGACAAGGTCCAGATATATCAAATTTTAAGTATCAGATTTGTACCAAAAAAATGGACATTTTTTATTTTTCGGACATTTATTTTTTATACCTATTATTAAAAAAGAATGGTCCAGAAATAAATTGTCATCGAAAATGTCCAGAAATGAAAAATGTCTGAAAAATTGCAACATTCTGGACACTTTCAGGACACCAAGCCTGACAATTTCTGGACATTTTTATGATAATGTCCGAACTTCTTTTTTATAGGCTGATGGATGATCATGATTATATAAGCAAGACCTAACCTACTAACAAGTTATCTGTGCATCCATAATCAAATTTCTAATCTGGATGCCAATTAGGTTCAAAACGATTTAACTTTATAGTAGTTAGATTTTTTTGTTTTTTAACGTTAATGATAAAATAAAAAACCTGTACAAGAATAAAAGAATTGTTTTTTTTTAGCCAAATGGTGCATTTAATTAATTGCCGATCCACATGTGATCCATATTGTTGGGTTAAAAATTCTGAACTTTACGATTATACTAACTTATACACCAGAACGAATTTACTATGATTCATCAGCAGCAGGTTGAGAGACTTTTTAATAAATTGGATCTGAAAACTCACCAAATATGACTTTAAATATGAAAGAATTAAAATTACAATTATCATCGGCGGGTAGCATTAATAAAGAAGATATTATTAACAATCTCAAGGAAATACGTAAGTACGTACAGAACAAAGGAAAATTGTACAATAGCTGAGAAAGTTATAAGTCTATTTGGAGAAAATCAGGCAAAAGAAATATTCAATAATTTATTTACAAATTATACGTAGTTTTCATATATTTATATGTATTAATAATTTTATTAATAAAATAATAAATACTACAAAAAATTATAATGGTGTAGTTAGCCGAAAAATTCAGCCGAAGGCGCAGTAAATTTTCGGCTAACAACACCCAGCCGAAAAAAATTCATGTTGATTTAGAATATTTTATTGGTTCAACATCTAACTATTTTTGGCTGAATATTTTCGGCTAAATACACTTTTTTTAAATAATAGTGTAGTTAGCCGAAATATCCAAATAGCAATCAATATGAAATAATGACAAAATTTTATTTATTATAGAAAACAAGAAGTACATAACATTACTATACTTATTTTTGGACAGTGCATATTATTTTTTATTAAATAAAACTACAAAATATTTGTTATTTTTAACTCATTTATTTCTGTCCAATCATACTTCAATATTAGAATTTTAGTAATTTAATTGTAAAAAAGAAATATTTTTAATATTTAATTGCTCTTTAAATTAATGAATAGTTTATTTAACCATTAAAACTATAACAATACAACTATACAAATAAAATAAAAAAAGGGAAATTTTTTTAAGGGATTTGAATTGTATTTGAAAATATACATACATTATTTTATTTTTTTAAAATTTTTTTTGTTTTAATTTAAAATCTTATATTATTCACAAATTATAAGTTTTTTGCATTATTTTTTATTTTTAATATACTAATTTTTAGCTAAGATCCAATTCAAAAAACAAAAAGCATTTGAAAAAATATTTCAATAAACACTTAGAGACTGACAAGAAGTTATATATTCCATATTTAGTTTGGAGATTATTTTGTATATATACGATGTTACATTTTACCTGAAATTTTCAATTTAACCAATTTTAGGCCAGAATTAAGAAAATTTTGGCCAGAATTATGGATTCGAAAATCATTAATTTAGCCAATTAAACAAGTTCAAATATATAATACATTTGCAAAGTTTAAATCAATTTAAAGAGGGTGCTATTGCCATAATAAAGTGAATTAGGAGGTTACATTAGCAATGACTGCTATTTGGATATTTAGGCTAACTACACTCATCAGGAGATTATATGAGGCGAATATTAGCGTAAAGTTGTCAAATATGTATAATCCCTGGAAATTTATACTCCATAAAAATCTATAAATATACAATTTTGCATAATTTACACTTAAACATAGTTATTTAATAAGGAGTATCTTATAAAACTTCGAAATTACCCATTTATGAAAATTTATGACACTTTTTATCTTGAAATAGCTTCTTAATTATATGATTTAAGTAATCTACACATAAAAACAATTTTAAAAAATATTTTGTTGATTTTGTAACTTAAAAAGTTTCATAAATTCTACATAAGTAGGTAGTTCCAGCAATCTACGCTTTAGAAATTTGCATAAATACATGACTTTGCATAACCCACGCGAAAATGTAACTTAAAATATTTTGAATAATTTTGTATTTAAAAAAGTTGCATAAAATTTATACAAATAGACATACACTAAAAATAATTGGTATTTTTATAGTCTAACACTAAAAAAATTATATAAATACATTTTTACTCTAAGATAAATATGAAATATAATATAATAATTAAAAAAAAAGAATAAATAGTGTAGTGGTCGGATAATGAGACTTAATATCATAGTTAATCTTGAGGTATTCAGTTCGATTCTTAGTGTAAGTAAAAAAAATAAATAAATAAAATGTGAGGTAAGTTCGACTCTTAATGTAAGTAAAAAATAATAAAATGCAATCAGTTTGACTAGTGTAAGTAAAAAAAATAATAAAAACGTGAAAAAAATTAAAAGAAAAATTTTATACATTAATTTAACTATTAAAAAAACTACGTCAATTTTAAAAATACACTATTTTATACTATTGAAAATTACTCTAAATTTTTCACACTCGTATATCGTCGCGAGTGGTGTAGATTTGCGTAGTTTTTCACACGTGTAATATTTTGTAGATCTACGCTTATTTTATTCTCCTGATGCTATTATTTAAAAAAAGTGTATTTAGCCGAAAATATTCAGCCGAAAATAGTAGATGTTGAATCAATAAAATATTCAAAATCAACATGAATTTTTTTCGGCTGGATGTTGTTAGCCGAAAATTTACTGCGCCTTCGGCTGAATTTTTTGGCTAACTACACCATTATCAAAAAATTTTCAATAATAAAATTTACGCTCCATAAAAAATTTTCTGAATTTTTTTCGGAATAAAAACTAGGAAAATGTTTATTTATCGTATAGGTACTAGACTATATACATAAAAATCTTTAATAATGAAAGTTTACTAGACTAACATTAAGAAATCACGGAATTGAAATATGGCCGGAGAAATTAAGCATCAAGGAATGATCAAGAAGAAGTAAATTTTAACGGTTTACCAAGAGATAAAGTGTAAATCAAGAAATGTTGCATATGAAAGCGAAAGATTGGCAAATAATCTATAATGACAAAAACTCGTTGCAATTAAATTTGATTTATAGCAAGATTTACAAAGGGCGACCCTATAAAAAATTTTTATCCGAATATTTCCGTGGCATTCGTAAAAATTCCGTGAAAATGATATAATCACGGAAATATAAACATGGATCAACGTTTTTACAGGCGAGGAGCGAACAATTTGAAGGTAGCCACTTTTTGTGGCGGCGTTAGATGAATAACAACAATAAAACAACCGGTAAACTTCAATAACACGAATAGTGAAAAAGTATGTTATATATGCAAAAAAGAAAGACACATGTAGACTTACACAAAGGTCAGTTCTATCTTTTCTGAGAGTTTTCCTTTTTACAGTTGGTTATTAATATTATAAATTTCAGATGTTTCATGTAATGTAATTAAGCGTTAAATCACCTAATTAAAAACAAGTTGTTTATTGAATTTTTAATAATCATATAGAACATATAAATGATAATAAATGATATATTCACATTTTAGTAATATATTTATATTTTAACCTAAAACATCTATTCCTAATTTTTGTAATAATTTAATAGCCTTATTATTACTTCGTAAAGCAGCCTTTCTTAACCATTTAATACCCTCATTTTCATCCTTTGAAATCCGGCATTTTCCCATATAATATATTTCACCCAAGTGAAATTGTGCAGCGCTATTATCTCCAATGGCTGCTTTAGTGATATAATCCATCATTATTTCCCGATTATTGCCTTCTCTAATAAATTTTAATAAGGTAAACGCATAGCGTAATTGAGCATCAGGATTTCCTTTATCGGCAGCTTCTTTAAGTAATGTTTTACCCTCTTCGCGCTCTTTTACATTGTCATGTAATCCATCCCATAAATAACGACCTTTCCAATATTTTGCTATTACATTATCATTACCTGCATGATATTCAAAGCATTTCCATGCTTTTTGATGTAAACTTGCCTGAAAAGCTAATATGCCTTCATCTAATGAAATAATTATTGGACTTAAATCACTGACATCACTAACGACATCATCTTGCATATCTAAATCGTTATTTACTTCATTTAGCTTATCTAAATCTAATACCTTATCAGGAAATAATTCTTGTAAATTGTCATCAAACATATAGCTAATGGATTTATGTAACTCTTCTAACATGTCCAATATTTTCAAAAGAGGTTTACGTTCATGTGGAATTTGTTTCCAAGCTATAGAATATATAAAATCGATTAGAAAATTTAAAGTGCATAATAGATAATAAACTTAACAAAAGGTATTGATAATACTTACCATCATTTATAATTCTTTTATAACCTTCTTGAAGTATAGAAATTTCGGGAGTTGATTTTTCAAATTTAATCGTTTCTCTACCACCTTTAGTCACATGAGCCATAATCTTTTCTAATGTCCAATTTCTATACGGAACTTTTTCAAAAGCAAGCTCCCAAAGTAACATACTGAAACTAAAAATTTCACACCATGTTGTATATCGACTAAAGTTGCTTAATTTTTCAGGAGCTATCCAACGTATAGCGTCATGGATTTCGCTCCCTATTGAAATGGAATATCCAGAATCAAACCGTGCTAACTCGAAATTGTAAATTTTAGGTTCTAAAGTTTGCGTCATTAGGATATTACCACATTTTAAATTATGGTGTAAGATTTCAGCCTGTTGTAAAAATACAAGCCCACGACAAATATTAAGGGCGATCCTAACTTTAAAATGCCAACTAATATTTTTTTTTTCGTAAAGTTCTCTCAAAGTTCCACGCTCAGCCCATTCAAAAATCATCACATTATCAATACCAATTTTCGAGACACCATAAAATTTAAGAATATGATTACAATTTGATAATTTGATTAAAATCATAATAAGTCTTCGCACTTCCGGACTTGATTTTATTTCTTTATCGTTCATTAAACTTTTTTTACAAGCAACTTCTTGTCCTTTAAAAATTCTTTTTATTACAAAATTACTTCCACGTCGGACATCATCATGAGTTCTTCGTAAAGGAAGGCTTAGGTATATCGGATTAATCTTGTTTACGTTATGTAAAGACTTTTCAATTGTGTGATTCTTAATATACTTTATTTCATGAAGATCATCAGTTTTTCTATCTATAGTTTTAAGAAATTTATCAAAGTCAGCAAGATCTTCTGCTAAAGCTTCTTCGTCAATCTTTTTTTGCTCCTCGTTAGCAACTGCTATAGTAAAATGTAAATCATTCATCGATTTATCATAATCTATTGATATTTGCATAAATTTTTCTTTAACGGAATCTGCTTTTTTGTATTTCCAAAAACCGTGAATTTTTGAAATATCCGCAGTATATGTTTCAATTTCATTTAAAACATAAATAAATTTATGAAAAGCCTGATAATATACTTCGTTACGTAATTTATTTTCATTTTTCTGTTTTCTACGTTTTAATGAATCTATAGCGGTACTAGTTAATTTCACTCGGTCCAATAGAGAATTGCATATATTTTGGTTATATTCTGCTGCTTCACAAATTTTTATTATATCATTAATCACAATTGTGGCCGATTGAATTAAGGGCAAATATGTACCCATAATATCCCCCACTATATTGAGAGCTTCTTTAACTTCCTCCATTACGACAGCAATATCTTCGTTTGCTTTGAAAAATTCGTTTATACTTTTTTTTTATATTTATAATTTGTGCACCTTTTTTGTTTTAGTTACATTTACCCCTTGGTTACGATAATATTGTTTTATATTACTGTAACGTAATACAGGAGTATAGCTGGACGAAAAGGTTCGACAAAAAAAAGATGGGTATTACGATAACATGTAGTGTATGGATTTTTATCTTGTAGTGCATAGTGACAAAAATTGCCAGAACCACCGGGGTTGAGGCAACCTTGTCAACCGCATATACTCACTCACATGGTTTAAGTCTAGCGTAGTTTTAAAAAAAAATTATTTTTTTTTTTTTGATCAGTTAAATCAGCAGTAGCTTCATCCATTTCTTCTTCAAATTCTTCTAATTCGACTAAAGCTTCAAGATTTTTTTTTTTTTTATCGATAATATAAGCAAAGTTTTTTTATTTCTTTGGAAAAAAAAAATAATTTTTTTTTTTCGATAAAAAATTAATAGGGAAGTTTTTTTTAACTTGAACTTCATTAATCAAAATACGTAATTTGCATATTTCATTTAAAAGGTTTTGCATAAAATGGGTCGAGATAATTAATGAAGAAATTTTTTTTATAGAAAAGAATTTTTTTTTTTTTTGATAGAAATTTCATTGGATAAACTTTTTTAATAGAGTAGTTTTTTTTTAATAATAATTTTGTTGGAAAAACATTTTTTAACAGGTGAGGTTTTTTTGATAGTAGAGGTTTAATAAAGAGGAGTATTTTTTTGATAAATAATTTTGTTGAGAATTTTTTTTTTTTTTTTTGATAGAAATTTGATAGGGAATTTTTGAGAATTTTCTTTAGTAGAGGTTTTGTTGTTTGAAGAGTTTTTTTATAAGTGAGTCTTTTTTGATGAAGAATTTTGTTTGGTAGTCTTTTAATAAAAAATTTCATCAAAAATTTTTATAAGAAACTTATTGGGAAATTTTATTGGAAATTTTTTTAATAAATTTTACAGTTTGAATAAATCTATAAAATTGATTCTTATTTTTATTTTTTTTTTAAATAAATACTATTAAATAAATAAATTGTCTATTATAGTATAAAATTTAAAAAATTTGCTTAATTTACCATGCTATTTAGGATTCTATTAAGATTTTTTCTTTATGTTATCTTGATCTTGTTAATGTAATTTGTCTTTTTGATCTATATTAGCATTCTCTTTTATTTTTATCAATTTTATCTTTGTAACTTATTTTCTTAAATTTATTATTAATTTTTGGTTTTACCGTCTAAGATACCCGGGTATAATACAAATTCCAGGGGTTAACCTTGTACTACCATGTATATTACTCGATTTTTTGTTATAAAAAAATAAAAACGTGTATAATAATCAGAAAAAATATTTACATGTAATACCTAGGCAAAATTATAATATTTGAATAATGAAAATCAGAAGAAAATGAACCTTCTTTTTAATCAACCGTTTACAGTAGTATTTTTATAGAAATTCTTCAATTTAATATTTAATTTTAAATTCTTTTAATTTAATTTTAGTATTTTTAAATTTTTATTATTTTGTATATATATATATTTTTTTTAATAATTTCAGATTTTTAATATTTATTTTTATGGTACTTTGGTATTTATTTTACTTTATTTAATGTTTTTAATGTTTTTTTTCTTAATTTCATTGCATAAAGTATTCAAATACAGATTTTCATAAAAATATTTTTATGCCAATTATTAAATATTAACAGTCACTGGAAATGTCACATGCAGATCATTTTCATATTAAAATTATTTTGTGTAACATTGAGCAAATTATGTTATTTTATAGTTAAATGCTAAATTCCAATATACTATATTTATACAAGTTAAAAAATTAATAGATTATCATGTGTTCTATCAATTTCTATCCTTATTTTCCGATCTTTATTAACAATTTTTTTTTTTATAATTCACAAAAAACTTCCCTTAAAAACGCACTTTTTTCAAGATTGAAGTTGAAGTATAAAAAAATATGCAGTTTTAAAAGCAAAAATATATGTAATTTTATGAGTAGAAAAAGATTTTCTAAGCTTGTAATGGAGGTTATTTGGGTAGGTTTTACATAAAATATGAAAAAATAGAAAAATTACATTATTTCTTAATATTATTAAACTTTTGGAGCGTAATTTCTCCATTTTAGTTCTAAGTAAATCGCCTTTGTAAATTAAGTGAATATTGTTCAGAAAGATCAAAACTACCTATATCTCAAATTTTGTAAGTTTATTAATAATACTGGCGTAACTACTTTAATTTTTATAATTAAACTAACTTTAAATTTCGTTCAGTAACTTCAGAGCGTAATTTCGGCACTTTAGACCTAAGTAAATCGACTTTGTAAATTAAGTGAAAAATGTTCGGTAAGGTCGAAAATACTTGTATTTTAATTTTCGTGAATTATTAGTTAATACCCATGACGCAACTGTCATTATTCGTAACAGTACTAATTTTCGATCTTTAAATTTTTTTACACCTGATCAACATCTTCAGAGCGTATTTTTGGCACTTTTGATCTAAGTAAATCGTCTTATTAAATTAAGTGAAAATTGTTCAGCATTGTCGAATCTACTCACATCTTAATTATCATGAATTTTTGATTGATGCTTATGGCGTAATTAGTGTTTATATTTTATACACCTGATCTGAAACTTCAGAGCGTAATTTCGGTACTTCGGCTCTAAGTAAATCGACTTTGTAAATTAAGTAAAAAATGTTCAGCAATGTCAAAAGTATTTGTATTTTAAATTTTATGAATTTTTGATTAATACTCATGGCGCAATTGTCATTGTTCATAATAGTACTAATTTTCGATCTTTTATTTTTTTTTATTTTTAATATAAAAAATACATTAACTTTAAATAAAGATTCAAGTTGAATAATAAAGATTATGTGAATATTTTTTTAATAAAATTGTAGAAGTGGTCAATAAGTTTGAAATTTTTTTTTAATTAAACTGATTATATTGTATAAATATGATGTGATATATAACCTAAATTTTTTCATTTTACCTAAATTTAGGCCGGCATTATAAATCTGGCCAGAATTAACAAAATTTTGGCCAGAATTATGAATTATTGATTTGCAAATTTATCCCGATTTAATTAATTTTGGCCAACTTTAATTATATACATATATTGTATACTTAAAGAGGATATTGTACCACAAAATTTTTTTTACCAACTTTAGTGAAAAAAATTTGCCTTCTTTTTTTGTGACATTTCCAGTAACTGTTAACCAAAAAATAAGTAGAAACCCTTTGAAATCAAATATAAATTAAAATAAAATTAAGAAAGCAGTAAATGTAAGATAAAATTAAAAAAAATATGCTAACATACTAGATCAATAAAATATTAACTACCACCAGTCAAATGATGCCAATCAGGTGAAATCCAGTAACCCGGATTAGAGGTCTGCATTGACCACTATTTTACAACTTGGCCCAGCCCGCACTTGGAAATTAACATAAAGTGCACGGCCCGGTCTGACCCAGACTTAATTTTGGCCAGTTTAATTTCGGCCGGAATTAAGACGATTTTGGCCAGAATTACGAAAATCTGGGTTCAACGAAAATTCATGTGCCAGCCCGGACCCGGCCCAGGTGAATTTTGAAGAAAGTTTGCCGGCCCAAACCCGGATCCAGATCCGGGCCAGGTCAGGATATTTACTATTTGACATATCAGTATACCAATTGATAACTTTTTGATTAAATATCAGTGTACCAATTGATAACTTTTTGGCTAATTTATAACAATAAGAAATCTTCTGATTGTCATGCATTTTTATTCAAAATTTATTTGAAATTTACGGTTTTATTTAAAAATATTTAAAATATTTAATATATTAAAAAATTGGTTTACAGAAATACCAATTGCTAAATTGTTATTTACACTATTTTGACCATCCCACTGATTATTAATCACTATTCACTAATACTATCATATTCCCTCTGATATGATGCTTACACCTCTTCTTTTTGATTTTCGTCTTCTTCTCCATCCTTATTTACATCTTATTCTTCTTATACATTAATTGAAGATAAACCAAAAAAAGTATAATACTATAAAAAATTAAAAAAATCTGAAATCATATATACTAAGAATAAAATTTATATATTTAAAACCAATTACACTAATAAGATTAAGATAAAATAAAGAAATGATCATAATTATAGACATAATAGAATCTTAAATAGCATAGTAAGTTATTGATAGATGGAATTAAATACAATATAACAATATCAAGAAATCTTTTGCTGGATATTTACCATTAATAGTGTATAGTATAATACTTATTTTTTCATTTCATTTCTAAGTAAACTCCTTTAACAACAAACCTAAAAGTATTTTTGGTAGTTATAAAAAAATGGTAATGTTAGAGTAAGTTATACCAGCTTGGAGTACTGGATTACCATCAGAAGATTTATCAATATAGTGTCCAAGAACTAACAACTAATTTTCATAATTGACAGATTCATTAATTTGCATTAAAAAGGTTAGGCTAACATGTACAATCAATTAATAGAACCATTTATTACTTTTTTTAATAATAAAGTGAAAATTCCATGGTTAAAATATATTTGGATCTTTCATTCTTTTACTATTTGAGAAAGTTTATATTTCAAGCACCAGCTGTATGTATATAGAGAAAAAAACACTTTTTTTTAAGAATGTTTCACATGAAACCCCTTGAAATTGCAGCATTTAATTTATAGAACCATCCCAAGTTGATCAAGAATGATCTTTGTGCCATATCCATTCATTTCTACTGGTTCTACTTCAATGAAAAGTTTCCCTTAACCAAACATGAAAGACCCTGTCTGCTTTTGTTCAAGCAAATGATACATTTGCATCTCTCACCAAGTAACACCATGACCATCCGGAAGATGAACTGTATGTTCAAGATAGAATTGTATTTGACCAGGATATGTGTCTCATTTCTATGTTGTTATATAAAACATGCTAAAATATAAGAGCTCCTGATATATCTTTGGGATCACAACATGATTTTACCAAAGAAAAAATTATCTTTCTTCTTAGTAAAGGGTATGGTTCGTACTATCATAAGAACTATAAAATCAAGTGTTTCCTTTATCAATAAAGTCATCAAATTTATAAAAGATTTTTTTTAAAAGTTTTATTAGGAAGTACAAAAAAATTGCACTTGATGTATTGCAATGTCATTTTATAACAAAATTCAAAATGATGAGGATTATGGAATTTCAATTATTTTAATGATTTATGTAATAATGTACAGTAATTATGTATTATCATATGATTGTAATAATTATTACAACACGAACCATTCATATTTTTTGTTAAGACGTGTTTAATTATCTTTTATTATAAACAAATTTCAAAGATCACAATTTGTCTATTGTTAAACATACTAGTCATTTCGTAAATAATAATATATTATAAATTAAGCAAATAATTTTTTATTTAACAAAAAGAAAAAAAGTAAGTAAACGATAAAAAACTAATTATTTTAATATTACAATGATATTTCTAAAAAAATTTCTATATTAAAGTCTAAAAAAGTTAATCGAATAAAAGAAAAAAAAAAAAGTTTATATAGGAGTCACGTTTACGTAAATTTATTAGGTGACCCGATATGATTCGCGTGGAATTAATTAATCGAATATTAAGAGTAAAAATTAAAAATTAAACCTGTTATTTTTCTTGCGTTTTTTTTTACTGCGCCATTTACTACATTTTTTTTTTACATTTGAATTATTCGAATTACGTTTTTCATCTCATCGTTTTTATTACAAGCGTTTTAGATTTCGAAATCACGTCGAGTTTCTTTTTTACGTTCGTTAAAGTGCCGGGATTGTAATTTTTTTACGGGTTTTAATTTGAAGCCGGATTTATATAACGAGATTTTTTTATCGTCTTAAAAGTTTTTATTTTTAAGCATAAGATTGTTTATAAGCATAAGTTTTTTTTTTATAAGTCAAATAGAAAAATAAAATTTTATAGGAGCGGCACGTATACAGAATTATTTTCATATTGTATTAACAATTATTTTTATAAAGGAAGTCATTTTTTTTTTTAATAAAAAAAAAAAAATCCACTCACGAAAGCTACATATCTAAAGTCTGAATAGTTCCTAAAAAAAAACAAACGGAACTATAAAGAAATCTAAAATAAATTATAAAAAAAAAAAAATAGTGTATGTCATAATAAAATGAGATTTTTGTTCATTTTTACACCTTAAAAATTCTTTTTAAAAAAATTTTCGTTTTTTATAGGGAATTATTTTAAGGATTACATTTTTGTTAACGGAAATTAGGTGTAAAAAAAATGTTTAAACATAATTGTTTTTTTTAATTATTTTTTTTTTTAAAGAGTAACGTTCACAAGTAAAAAAGCTAAAAAGTTTGTTGAGTTTTTATACATCTTTCTTGATGTTTCGTTTTCGCGATAAAAAGATATAAATTATCATGCATAAGTTTTACGCCAACGGATCATACGATTTCTTTTAAAAATCTCTTTTTTTCACGGTTATAGATTGATTAGTGATTTAATTAATAATTAATAATCAATTTACGTAACAAATCCTTTGTATTGTAATCATTGTAAATAATAGTCTGGCGTTCGTTAGTTTAGCTATAATGGGTAATGTATGGTACGTTGGTTTGATTTTACGCAGTAATGATTTTTATCTAGATGTGTACATAAACCCGTATGGTAACTATGGTATTGATAGATTTTTTGATAGACGTGCGAAAGTCTTAAAATTCTCAATCTTTATTAAATAAAATAATCAATTCATCTTTTAATTATTGAATACTAAATAAATAATTCCAAAAATTAAGCGCGATCATCTTAATGCAGGCCAGAAAGCGCTCGCTTTCAATTATTTGCGAAGCATTCCGCTTTTAAATTATATTTTAATGATGAACTTTTTGTTTTTAAAAAATATTATATTACTTTTAAAAAATTAAATTTATAAAATGTATAAATTCACAACTTTATTTATTTTTATTTTAATTTAATTTCCAAAAAAAAAAAAACAAATATACAATGTAAAAAGAGAGAGATTTAATATTTCACTCGTTTTGATTTATGAAGTAACTCATTAGGAGCCTCATGATTTTTTAATATATCTAAAAATTTTGGCATATATACTTCTGCAAATGATGAAAAATAATGCTATTGAAATAATAATAATAAAAAAAATTATGGTTAAAAAAAAAAAAACAAAAAAATTCATGAATCACAAAAAATTATTCAAATAAAATAATACACTTACTTCATGTTTAGCATTATGATCGTGAACATAATTATGTGCTAGTTCATGACAAAATGTCATAAACCAATAAGTCATAGCATTAACCGTAGGTCTTGTTATACATTCATTATCGTGATACCCCAAATAAAATTTGAAATTAAAAAATAATGATCGATTAAAATTGAATGCAATACAAGTCGTATTATCATCGTAAAATAAATGAATAACTTTTGTTGGTACAATTCCAAAAACACCCGAAAGATCTTTTAGTATATTAATAAAACGTGTTAATGGAGCCGTGCGTGTATGAGACATGATCTCCGATGGATCGGCATCTTTATAAGTGAAAAGTTTGATTTCTTGTAAAAATCCAACATGTGTTAAAGATTGAGCTAAAAAACAACGAAATAATTACAATTAATAAAAAAAAAATATATATATATATATACGTTAATTGTGCAATATCACTTATAATACTTACCAGGTATAATATCACAATAACTTATTTGAATATTTTCAAAATATTCTTGAGTATTAATACCATCAATATTTCCACCAAATAAATTACAGCCATTTATGGAATCTTGTAAAGATTTTCTTAAATTTTGAATAACATCAGGAGTAGCGGAAACTTTCCTCTTAAGTGATCTTTGTTGACTATTCTCAAAACATTTTAATTTGGGATGTTGTAAAATACGATCAACCGGATATCCCATACCTTTTAAACTTGATAAGGACGTAGTTAAAAGTGTGTGAATGCAAAATGTACTATTAAATTCACGTGTTTTGAAGATATTTTTAGCTATATGTTTTGAAATATCGAGTAATTTTAGTTTAGATGTTATATAAAGAGTCCATGAATTCATGCCTCCTGCATCTTGAAGAATACTAGTACTATTTTCTTTAGTATGACTCTTTGATCCTAATGAATATGTTGTTACTATAGAATAAACCTCCATAACTTTTAACCTTTTAAGCCATTCTTCATCTCTTTTAATATCATGTTTTGGATGCTTAAAATAGAATAAGCTTGCTCTTTCCCTAATCGTTAATTGTAATTGTTGAGAATTTTCAGTTTGGTAAATCATTCCTCTTGGAACTGAAGCTTCTCTTACAGCGTCATGCAATGATTTACATCCTAACCACTAAAAAAAAAAAAAATCAATAAAAATGAGACACTTTCCTCATTCCTAATCTCACACGCATTGATAAACAAATAAAAATAATTAAATACCTTATATAAAGGTTCCAAGTAATCTTCCTCAGGAGCCGTCAATGTATTAAAAATCTCTTGATATACTATGTCATCATTTATATATATTTCATTTGCTGTAGCTAATTGATGTTTTTGAACTTCCTGGTTAACAACATTCATATTATTAACGTTATCTTGTCTCTTTACTGCTATTAGAATGGGTGCTGATTTCATCTTTTCAATCAAATTTAGTTTACGGGTTATAGAACCATATAGTTTAACATCCATAGCAATCTTTCTCAAAATGGATAAATATTTTTCTACATCACCTCCATTTAATTGAATTGAATTCATTAATTCACTCGATGAAGTTACTAATAATTCAGCAAAATCTATTGAAGTTGGTTCACATTTAACGCCACAACTTTGTAAAAATTTATTAGCCTTTTCTCCAAAGTCAACACGTAAAAAGAAACCAGTTAAACTAAAAAAAAAAAAAAAAAAAAAAAAATTATTTTAATTTTTTTTTAAAAGAATGAACTTATATGAAACAAATGATATACATACAAATCTTCTTGAATTTTAAAGAAACATTTAGATGGACTGGCATGAGCAATTACGTCAGGGTAAACTCTATATGGAATAAATTCAAGATAAGTGAGAAGATTCCAATCAGCAGTGATAAAGTCTCCCTGTTGTGATGCTAAATATTCAAATATCTCTTTTCCTTTATTTTCATCTTGTGGTCGATTCGCTTTTAACATATCTAAAAGTTTAACGGGATCAGGATTTTGAAAAACACCCAATTTTTCCACTTGAAACTTTAAATCCTGTCGTATAACTTGAAATCCCATTATCGAACACTTAGGGTTAATAAAACACTCTGAAGGTTTCGCATAAATGCCTTGAATTGAACAAGGTAAAAATGCAACATTAACTGCAGTTGGATTATAATCACTAGAATATTTTTCGTCGAAATTAGTGATAAAGTATTTAAGAGCTTTTTTACAAATTTCAGGATCAGTTGGAGGTGATGCTAATTCCAGGATCTTTTGAAGTGTAGGATATTCTCGTATACCCAATTCAATGAGAAATTTTTCTTTTTTTTTAAAAAAAAAATTATTTGAATTACAAAAGGTTAATTTAGTAAATAAAATTATTACTACATAACGAAATTAATATACCTTCTTGTGCATTACAATCCCATCTTCCTTGCCAATCAATTATCGGTAAACCAAGATCACGATGGATTGGCGAAGGTACATGCAAACTATTGGCGACAAAACGTTGAATCATTTGTGCTTGCTTCGCTGCTTTCTTGCCTTGTTGTGGATTTTTTTTAGGCCAGATGGCTACGCTCTTTAGTATCTTTATTTCATTTTCATTGAGATCGCTAAATTTTAAAGCAAGATATTTTACAAGTTGCATATGATCCCAATCTCCCCGATCAAGAAGGCGTCTAAAGATGAGTGGTAATTCAACAACCTATTAAAGTTTAATCAAGTTCCATTGTTTAATATTTCAAGGAAGGAATATTTAAAAAAAAAAAAAAAAAAATTTTTTTTTTTTANTCTTTTCATGTTAATGTGTCAGTCCAAGTCATACCACATATAAGTTATTTTTTTTTGTATTTAAGATCCTTATGCATTTTGGTTATCTCTAAAAAAAAAAAAAAAAAAATTTTTTTTTTCTTACTTTTCGAACGCCAAGAAGATCCATTATATTCTGAACCATTGAAGGTACTTGAAATTGAATTGTTGGCAAGTTGGGGAATAAATTAACATTTTCATAATAAGCTTTATTAGGATACATCATACCAAATCTAGTTGGAATGCATTGCTTTTGGACGAATAATTGACGAATTGTTTCTTTATCATTCTGTGAAATATTATCTAAATTATTTGCTAAAATATAATGAACTTTTTCAGCAAACGCGGGATTAAGTTCTATATCAGGTTTATTAATAATAAATTTTGCCCAATTAACTAAAGGTAATTCCGACCATCCAAACCATTTTACAAGATCTTGATGATTCAAATCTTTGGAAATAGTATATGGTAACACATCATCCGGAATATCTACATCTGAAGTAATTGTTCCTGGATTCAAAAAATAACAAATTGTACTTAAAGATTGTGATTTCTTATCGATGCGTGCAAATTGCATGAATTGATTAAATTCAGAAGGTTCGACAATATTTCCTCTTGACCTATAAGAGATCATCCAATTTAAAAGTTTAGCCATTTCATCTTCAGAAAGTGTTCGATTTCTTATTTCATATAAAACATCATTAAGGGTTAACTCTCCTATAATTTGAAAAGAATTTTTTGCTTTCATAAAAAATCCGATACATTGATCAAATAATATTTTCGGAACAAGTGGTACGATCTTTATGAACCCCTCCATTTCTGGATTAGGAATACGAACATTAGATATCGGAAGGACGCCATTCGTTGATAAGATTGGTAAATTTTTCTTTGTACAATTAAAAAATTGTGATTCTAATATTCTACCAACTTTCTCATTTGGTGTACTATTTCTAAACGTACAATATGTTAAATTATATGCTGCCCATATATCAATCCAATTACGAAAAGAATCAGAATTATCATCACTAATCATTTCATTATAAAGTTGTTCTATATAAGCCATTTCGTCTTCATATAAAATTCTACATAATGTTCCCGCTAAACATAACATTTCATTGTTATATACCGAAAGAGTTTTTTCCGCTAAATCAATTGATTCTCGTTCAACCTAAAATAGTATAAAATATTAATAAATATATGTAAAAAGTGTATAATTATCAATATTAATACATACAGTAGGGATTACGCGAGCTGCTAAATGGGAACAACATCCGGTGGTTTGATGAGTTGAGAAACCAATATATATTCTTCCTTGCTCCGGATATGGAAGTAAATCTTTAAAGACCGGAGAAATAGTTCCATTATAATTTTCGTGTTCATTAAATCCAGTAAAAATCATTTGTATAGTCGTATTTCTTGGTGGTTTCTTTTTGGTAATTCGTTCCATTTCCGCAGAAAACGTATCGTTAACGTTAACATTTAAATTTCCACTTGTAATTCTAAGGAGTATAGATGCTTGTTCCGTTTGAAGGTCAGTCGAACACCATTGGTTTGCGCCCATATTTGTAGGAATAAGTATTCTTTTAACTTCAAGTTGAACGTCTCTAACTTGTACAGAGGCAAGTTGAAACATTTTTCGAGGAGAATAGGTATCAATTTCAGGAGAAATGTTCATCAATTTCGGCTCCATAATATTTTTTGATAGGTGAATCGCCGATACATTATTAAAATATACAGATATCTCTCGAAGATTTCCCGTAAATCCCTAACATTTATTATATATTTTCAATTAAAAAGAGTATGCGTATGTACTGTATATATATATATGACTGTAACATTTGAGAAAGCTTACCAATGAATTGGCCAAGAACTGCGCAAAATTTTCAACATTTGGAAGCTAATTATTATAAAAAAAAAAAAAAAAAAAAAAAAAAAAAAAAATTTAGTACACCAAATGTTAGCATATATACTGTATGATTCAACCATGAATGAATATTTACATCTATAGGTTCTCTCATATCCATTAAGAATGTCGTCCAAGTTTTGTCAATATCACCAGTCGGCCCCTGTTTTGAAGTTAATTGACCGTGACGCCAAAAGAAAGCCATTCCTTGTCCACCAGATGAAACGCTAACAAATGAAATGAATTAAATGGAATACGGATTAACATTATTAAGGGGAGGATTAAAATTATTATTATTTGGTTTAATTTAATAATATTAATTTAAAAACATATTGATAAAATTTGTCTTACAATGGTTCCTCACAGACCGAAAACAATGAATAAAATCCTACACCAAAAGCTCCTATCTGTTAGAATTAATATTGTTGAAAAGGAAAGGAAAGTTAGTGATAGAATAATTTGATTCGACATAGTAATACAATAAAGTATTACTTTTTGTTCATCAGGATTTCCTTCAGCAATTTTCTTTAACCGATCCCAATCTTCGGGCCTAAAAGCGAATCCATTGTTTTTGAATGTAATTCGTATGATTTTACTTCCAAATTTATTACCCTCGGTTTCAAATATAATTTTGATACTTGATGATCTCGCATCATCTTTTTTTGGTATATAATTTATTTAAACTATTTTTTATTATAAAGTATGAATTAAACGCAAGAAACGATAAAATCAAGAATTTTACCAGAATTCTGTATTAACTCTCGATATATTACAAACTCTGAAGAGTATCTGAAGTAAAAAAATATAAAAAAAAAATAAAAAAATTGATGAAATTAGAAAAACAGTATGAAAGTTTTAAGTATAAAAGCTAACGTTTCAAAATGAATTTTACCGGGCCAAAATTTTATCAATCAAAGGTCTATGATTGACTTCTACTCGTTCTTCGCTAAGATTCGAAAGAACACGTTTTCTAATCTCATCTATAGACATAGGAAATATTATAATATTTACGTATTAAAATCAAAAACTAGAAGGAAGCTTTTTTTTTCAAAACAATTGGTCGTTCTATTTATTTATCTTATATTGTTTGACTTCATATAGAAGGTTGTATCGCAAATGATATGTCGATCAAAATCTATAAATAGAAATATAAAAGGAAAGGAGAAAATTAAATTTATGCGTGCGGGCGTTATTCAAATTGCATATAGAAGTTAAAATGACATTCCAAAAATTTTTCTATTCACCGTTAAATGAACTAAAAAAATACATGTAGAATATATTATTATTCATAAAATTTCATAATCAAATGTTTCCTGAAAAAAATGAAAATAATTTACTTATTACTGCGCCAGCATATGCCTTCAATCAATATAAAAGGAGTGAAAAATATGAATATCAAAATAAACATTAAATAATAATAATCATATTTTGAAACATAATATTGTGTAATTTAGCCACATAACCGTAACTCTCTTTCAAATTTTTAAAATAGGATATTATTTTTGCATGGGCGTAAATACAAAAAAAATAAATAAAGTTATAGAAATTACTTTTACTCGTATCATTTTGGATAATTGTAAATGACCAAATATAATTATAATTATAAAACATAAGAATCCGTATTAAAAATTTTTACAGTAGGGCGTGGGATAATGTACATTCATGTATAACTTTGCTTACCTATGAGTAAACATTCATGCGAGACTGCATGATCAAAGATAAACTAAAATTGGTTGGATTATTTTGTGACATGTGAAAGTCAGGATACTAAAAAAACTGCATAATTTGCATAATAGGTCTTTAATTCCTTATTTGGATAGTTCTGGCCGGAGCTTCAATACCTAAATTTATATCAAAAACCCAAGGTTTATCGTAAAAAAAAATAAAATAAATATAAATTTAAAAAATTTTAAGCAAATGTTCTTTAAAAATAACTAAATAATGAACAACAGATGATAAAAAGACTTTTCGTCAGCGTTGAAAATTCAGATAATTTTTATGCACGCAGAGTGCACATAATTCATATTGTGCGTATATCTATGAGTAGTAATTTTTTAGAATTTAAAAAAATTATTGGTTTATTGTCATACTTTATATTAACATTTTTTTTTAAGATGCTTGGGTTAATTTATAATACGATTATTTTTAATTGAAATCATCTTATTTGAAATTTCGAATTAAATTATAATCTTTCGTTGCAAACATCAAATCAAATCATCGTTCTAAATGACTGAAGCTGCCATACAAGAAAAGTAAGTATATATTACATGTGCACCGAAGTTTTAATTATATATTAAAAATACTGGTTTGACTAATATTATCGTATTGTCGAATGAAAAGGAATTCATTACAAATCAGGGGCGAAACATATTAATATTGAAACGTAATAAATTATGATGTAATACAGAAATTGGAATCTTCGATTGATTAATTAGATAATATTGGCGTTGGGATGCGTGTATAGTTAGGTTAGCTCAATTATATGCGTGGTCTTTTCTAATTTTTTATAATTTTACTTTTAATTAAAAAAAAAGTATTGAAGAGTCTAAATTAAAAAAAAAAAGTCACGAATTGGTTGACATTACGCATTTTGTGCATTTTGACTGAAATTAAGTGTGGTGTATATTTGTCAGAAAAGACGTAACGAATAGGTTTTTTCTACTAAAAAGTTTCCGTCCCTCAGATAATTATGGATTTATTTATTTATTTTATTTTATTTCAAAAAGAGTAGTTAAATGAGTCTATTACAGATAAGTCAGATAATTATGGATAATTAAAAAACCGGTGATGAAAAAAGTCACGTGAATTTTCGTGACAGTTACTCAACTCAACTCATACTGCGCCATTCGATCGCATTTCTTTCTCTTCACCAGAAAATTTTAAAAACATTTGTTAACCATAATTATATTTCTTATTTTCTTTACCATCTACTTTACTATTAAATTGCAATCTGATAATAAACATAGAAATAATGAATTTGAGTATGTTCCAATTTTATTTATTGGTTTGACTTGTGATGATTTGAAGCTATTACGAGTTATTTTACGACCCAAAATGATTAGGGATGGCAGCGGCTATGATCGACCGATGACCGTTGTAATCCCTAATTACGATTACAAAATTTATTATGAAAATTTGTACTTGATGATAAAATGCAGTTCGTATTTTTAAATCTATTATTTCTTTATTCTTAAATATATTTTATGTCCGATATTACAAGGACGATAACCATATAAGGTAGGCAATATAAAAAAAATTTACTATTTAATTCTATATTATAAATTTAGGAAGAATTTATTAAGAATTATCAATTTTTTTAATCTATTTTTTGCATTTTGATATCCTTGTTTAGCAGACTTCTCATACAAATAAATTGCTTTATCTATATCCTTAATGCTTCATAATTCCATCTCCAAATTCATGCATATTAGCAACATTATATTGTGACACTCTACTTCCTAAATTTACTGATTTTCATATAATTCAAATGCTTTTTGTTTATCAGATTTAGTCCTTCAGATGATCGTTTAAACAATTCAAATGCTTTATTATAATCTTTTTCAGCCCCTTTTCCATGTTTATAACAAAGACCAAGATTACATTTAGCCATTATATTTCCATTATTTACAGCTTTTCAAACCAAAAAAAAGCCTTTTTTAAATCTTTTTAATGCCTATTCCATTATCATAAAAATAACCAACTTCCAATTGTTCAATCGCATAATTTTTATCAGCCACTTTTTCGAAATATTTAAAAGCTAATTTATCATTTTTTTATGGTTTCAAATCCATTTTGGTAACAATAAGCAACGAAATATTATGCTAATGTATGATATTTTGCTGATGCATTAAGAAATAAATTAAAATCTTTCTCATTATTTTCACTTGTCTCAATTCCATTGTAATTAAAGTATCCAAGTAAAAAGACAGAATTTGAATTATTGATGACAATCAAAAATTTCTTGTGAATTTGTATTATAAATACTACTAAGATATTCAATAACTTGCTCTTTTACTAATTCCCCTTCACTTTATTTAATAATTCAACAATAAAATCATTTATTTCATCAATTATTCTGTTAAAATCTTTTTCTAATAACAAATTCTTTTGTTAATTTGATATTGATGTAGTATTAATTTCTGATGTACTTATTTTATTAAAATTTTGAATGAGCTGAGATAATTCTCCTTGTAATTCTGAATTACTTGTACTTAAAAGAACCTCAGCATTACTTAAATTAAGTTCTTGTTTACTTGACAATTGAAGAATTTCTGCTTTTACATCTGTTTTTGTAGCAATTGCTTTTAGCCAATCAACTACTTGATATATAGTTGGACGATTATCTAGTTCACCATCCAAGCATCCTAGAAAAAAATGAATGTAATTTAAGATTAATCAAATTATATTTAAGTAATTATATTTGAAAATTTTACTTACTGGTATATAATCTTCTGGCGTACCAATTCCAATGCTAAACCAACATCATATTGCTCACCTTCAATATAAAAAAAGAGGTTGCCCACTTGACTATTTCCCACAATAATACTCCAATACTGTAAACATCACTTTTTTCATTCAATGAATACATTTATGTTGATTGATTATTATTGAAGCATTTTGGATCAACGTAAGGAACCATTCCAAATAATTTGGATTGAAAATTGGATGAATTAGATGATTCTCCAATTCTTTTTGATAAACCAAAATCTGCTAATTTGATTGAATTTTGATGGACTAATATATTGCCAGAATGCTAGTAATAAAGTGTATATATGTATTAAATGAATAACGAGGAAATAATATTATTGGATGATTGATTAATAAGAGTAAATGAATTACCAAATCGCGATGGAAAATCCCTTCATTATGTAAGCATGATACAGCGCAAGCTAACTGATACGAAAAGGTGCTTATCATCCCAAGTTAGTTTACTAAAGTTATACTTCAAATAGTTCCGAAGACTACACTGTCTGCATATTCCACTACTAACATGTAATTGATATTGTTATCATGATTTTCTAAATAACGACAGAAGTAATTGTTAAAATGCATTTTTTTTTTCGAATAAAAACTCGATATACTGTATTATAAAATATTTACTATCTTTATAATACCTGCTTGATTCAAATTTCGCTATTCCGTAGCAACGAATAATACTATCGTGAAAATCAATTTTACGTTGTATTTTTAATTAGATAAAAAAAATTTCAAAAATTTGAAATAAATATAATAGACTAAAAATAAATTAATATGTTATATTACCTCACGAACAATTTCTTTTATTGTGATGAGTAACTAATGATGTTAGTATTAAAAAAAAAATTTTTTTCTAAATTTTTCCAACTTGCACGATATACTTTTCCAAAATTTCCAACACCAATTTCTTGAAAATTATTAAATTATTTGTAATTATAATAAATTATATTTTCTTTATCAATAGTTTCTTCAATCCAATTAATCCATTCGTTTGTATTTTCGGTATTTTTTACTTTGATATTATTGACAGACATGTTAAATAAAAAAAAATAATTTGACGAAAAAAAAAATAACGGAAACAAATTAAAATTTTATTGTGTTACGAAAATAATTCTTTTTGAAGTTATTATAATTTCCGATTATAGTCGTACAGGTGTCGATACTTTAGACGAAGTACGCCATTATTGTGTCACATAAAAATAGTTTGGAAAATGCGTGATTATTTATATATTTAGTTAGAACTTAGAAGTATGAACTCCCTGGAAAGAAAAAAATTGAATAAAATGAGTTAATTTTTTGTTTCTCGTGACATTATGACAAATATTATTTAAAACTAAAAAAAACTTTCTTTTAAGTAATACTTTTATTTAGTTCACCGAAATTTTTACAAATCATAATCATTATTCGTACAAAATTACACGGCAGATTGTATTTTGTAAGGCTCGTAAATTAGCAAGATCATGAAAACAAAATATACGAATATTTATATTGGTATGTAATCAAAAATGAGAATGAAATAATAATAATAAGAAATGACATTAATCCCAAAAATTTTGTTTGCTTATGTAGTCTCGGCGATGAGACAAGAATAATTCTAAAAACTTCTCGGGAGAGTAATTTCGTAAAATCAAGCACGTTATGAATGAATTAAAATACTGCGCCATTCATTAAAATATTTGACAAATCAGCAAAAAAAATCTAATATATAACTTGATTTTATATTTATAGGTCGTGTACTCAAAGATACTGTTGTTATTGCTTATTTTTTGGAACATTATTCTAGATTATGCTGGTTGGATGATTACTGTGTCTAAGGCATTACCTTTATTATTTAAATATAACTATAGTTCTTTTTTTCATTTCTAATTCTTAAAAGATTTATGTATGCATGATATTACGAATCTTATTTTATAACATAAATGATTACGCTAGAAAGATACTTCATAAAGAATGTTTTGGCAACCGAAGCGGTTATTAATTTTCGTTTGCAACAAGCGAGAAATTTCTTTTTCTCCCTTTTCTTTGATTTCTTATTTTTACCTTTTTGTTTCATATTTATTAGTTGGGAATATTTTAATCATGGAGTTATAAGTTGGAAATTTCGAAATTTTTTAGTTACATTATTCTGAATTAATACATTTGTATCTTCACGGGCCTAGAACAGGATCAATTCTTTTTTCTTTTACATATCATTTAATATTAACGATGATTTATAATAATTTAAGTTTTATATCTTCGCCTGGTAAACCTAGTATTAAGTAAATATAAAATTTAACTTCATTTTATAAAGAATTCATGATTAAATTAAATTATTAATTATTTTTTTTTTTAGTTTTTAGTTTTTTAATTGATTAGAAATAGACACACATATATATTTATTATGTTATATATATCATTAAAAACATATCATTTATTTTGTTTATATTCATTGTAATAATAATTGGATTTTCGCACACAATGTATAATCATTATAATTTTTTTTTTTTGATATATTTAAGGATGACTATGAAAATATTCGTCAGCTTAATGTCGTGGTAGTTTATTTTAATTAATTTCAATTTTTTTATTTGTATCTAGGTTTATTTTACTTAAGAACCTTAAATAATCCTAATGTAAAATCAGATACATTAAGTGGACAGCTACAAGTAAGCTTTATTAAGATTTAGAGCAAATCAAATAGCAAGATTATGAAGCATTAGAACATTTTCATTTTTGGCCTGATGAATCCGAAGCAAAATATATTTATTATATTAATCAATCTAAAAATTTATAAGATTTTGAAGATGTTGATTTTGATGAAATTTCCGATTTGGAATTTGATGATGATAATTCGTCTGGTACCAAAGGTAAAAAGAAGGAAGATTCCACTGATTCTACTATATAAGGTTATCAAGAAAACATTCCATTAAATTCCTCTCAAGAAATTCTCAAGAAATTTTTTTAGAAAAAATTAATGAAAAATTAACAAAATGAAAAAAATGAATGATGATATTCAAAATTTATTTAATTATTAATTAAATGTATACTAAATTTAATAATGTAGTACCTCAAAATTTATGAGCGGTATGATATCTTTTTGACGTTTCTATGATATAAAGGATTTAATAAAAAAACAAACTATAAATATTTTTTTTTATTTATACTTCAGTAAGTTTGAACAGTATTTCATTTATTTATATTCAAAACAAATTTTTTTTGGCATTAATTTAAATAAATAATCGTTTGATACCTACTGATTACTGTAGCAGAAGCTAATGCCTCGACCCCCTTTTTTGTTATTGCGTTCTTATCATCCAGATAAATATCCAGTTAAAAGATGCCCAACTAAAACTATCCAGTTATCAGAAGGAAAAGAAAGAAATTGAATTTTATAAAAAATTTCACAACTTCACATAAATCATAATATTTAAACCTACTTACACATGATGTCTCAGCATGTGACTAGATATTATGAAATTGCCAACAGTTAAAAAAAAATAGTTCTACAGGTGCCAAGATTGTTGTTCATGTTCACATATTGAAAAATCTACATTCTTGCTCTTCAGTTAATAATGCTAAAGAACTAAAAAAATATCATTAGTATGGTTGGTATCAGAGGACCACACTACATAAAAAAAACCTTCAAGAAAAGTGAAGGTAGCAAAACCACTTTAGTGTTCAAGAAGACAGGATTTTTTGCCCTTTATTAGTGTCAATAGATCTGTTATCCTGCCCTAGATCTTGCATAAAGGATAGAAATAATCTATTAAGAATGTATCAGTAACTTAATAAAATGACTTCTCTTTCAGCAAGTGCAAAAGGTTCAATATAGTAAGAAGAATATTAAGATAAGAATATTATGGAGAAATAAGGTCTTTTTATATCTTTTTTTGTTACACAAACTTTTGTAATTATCAGTTCTTTAATGTTTATAAATATAAACGAAAATTAATTAGGGTAGGCAACAGTTATATCTATGTAAAAAAAAAATATAAAGATAATTAGTGCAAAGATAATAAACACAAATTAACTTTAAATTACAAATTGACAAAATTAACTACAAATCCGATCAGATGTGAATAAAGAATAGCATTCCAAACAGCATGTACAATCAGATACAAATAAAGGATTATACAATAAAATAATGGGTAAGTGTATATAACAATGAGTTTTTTATTAATATTGGTAATTATCAATTTATATCTGTTTTATTACATTGAAATAAATGCATCCATATATACATAAAATACTAAACTAAAAATATTTAAAATGTTTAATATATGCCATATATACCATATGTGTGATATGTTTAACATATTTAATATATCAAATATTTTGAACATTGATCTCCCCATATGTAGATCAAATCAGAGCAAAAAAAGAAAAACAAAGAAAAACAAAGACCTACAAGGAAATGAATGAAGGATTATATACAGAAATAAAATACATTAGGGTCAAAATCTATATTAATATTGTCTAAAAATTTCAATGTAAAGAGAATTAATCCAAGTTAGGTTATGGAGGAAATTGAACTTGTTAGATAAATCCAAAAAATAGAATTATCCAGATTTTGTTGCAAAATCATAAAAGGGTTATTATAATCCATGCTTGTTATATCATAGTGTTTTCTGGAGTTGTCAAGGTTATTGTCCACATTTCTGTGTCTTTTATGTGATTATTAAAAGGATTTTTGTGATGTGATTTTGTAATTTGAACTCTTTCCATTTTTTTGAGCGTGCTTTCCACAGGTTTTTGTATATATCATGATGAAGGTTGAAATGGAATTTCAAAAGAAGTTTTTTGATCAATTTTTTGTTAATTTTTGCACATTTGAAAGGTTTTATGATTGATATCAGAACTATATTGATAAGAATACAATGTAGGTCAGGTGAATCTTGTATGATCAGAGGTGTAATATTAGTCTATGTGAAAACAGGGATATTGAAATCAATTTCAGTTGTGTTCATCTTTATCTCTGGTATTCATATTGTTCATAATAATAGATTGATAAATAAAATCATGTTTTTTGAAAATTGGTTTGAGTATACTATCAATTGATCAAGGGCATGTTCACAAATGTTTATTAATCTCTTGTGATTCATTACAAAGGAAATATATATCAAAACCTTTAGGAATGTCTAAATAGTTTTTATTAAGTAATCCCAATGGTAATATTAATCATCCTGGTTATTACCATTGATCACCCATTATATCACATGACTTCATTACCTGATTTTTCTATTGTAACATCATTTTCAACTCCGTTGAAAATCTCCAAAGATCTCATAACTAGATCTTGATATTTTTCTTGACTTAACTTTCTAACCAAAGTCAAGGTAGTATTTTCAGTCCTCATAATCTGATTTACTCCAAGGGCTTCAAATATATAATATATTTGCTGAGATGTGATATGATAGTGAGGTGTTAGCTGTTGCATGGATACCGATGTCATAATTTACAAATTTTGAGGTTTTCAGGAATGAAAACTTTAACATCTGGAAATCTACAAGAAATTTTGCACCCTTAAGAAGTTCTTTTAAATCAATTTGTTGATGTCCTAACAGACGGAAGAGGCTGAGTCATAGAACCCTTGCATATAGTGACTTCACAATGCATTTGTTTTCACCCTTTTCTCCAAAAACTGTCCTAGGAAAAATATATTTATCAAATGCATTTGCCTATTACCCAACCTTTTTAACCATCTTATAGAGTTATAGCTTCTTTCAATATCTTGAATACATCACTTTTTTGATCTATTACTAAGTAAATTGATGCAGAATGATTTTAGCAGCTAATATAATATACATATTATAAATCCCACTTCAGTTTGATTCTTTATAAACATTTTGCTTGCATATCAGAAATGAATTTAGAAGCTTTTTTAATTATAAATAAAACCAAATTATTATATAATTAACCCCCTTTTAATTTGACCATAATAAAATAAATAAATATAATATAAAATATAAGAAATATAACTGAAGAAATATATGCTAAATCATTTTGTGATACAGTAAAAATGACTAAAAATCATATGATTAACTATTTAACCAATCTTCTTATTTAACAAC